GGTATTTACATTCTATGCTCGATTCTCAGGTTTAAAAGTGAACGAAGATAAAACGAGATTAATATGGATAGGCTCGATAAAAGGTCGAAAATATGCCACAATAGAAATCTTAATTGGAATCAAGAGCCTTTCGAACTACTTGCCATAACATTCAATACTGATCTGGAGGATATGATATATACGTAAATGTGAAATGTTACTGAAGTCTGGTCAAAAAGAAACCTTATATCGATAGGACGAAGCACTGTTTTGTAATCTTCAATACAAAACAAATAGTCCAGTCTGGTACAATATCGTTATTCCGGTGTGGTAGCTTGATTCTTTATTCTAAGATGCTTCGCTATAAGATCAAAGTTGGCGACAGTACATTATCCTGCGATATTATGCACTTGTTGAGTTACGTTATAATGGGGGCTGACGGCATGACGCTGTTCAGATTACCTCCTCACCCCTCCCGCGATCTAACGTTTACATGGCAACATTATTCTATTATTCCTGTCAATCAAAAACGTGCTTCGACATCAATTATCGATCCGTGCAATAATAAGAAACAAGAATGTGTCGGGTTATGGAAGTTATTACCCTAGGTAGAAATATAGCAAGACGATGCCAACCATCCCCCGTGGCGCGTGGTTCTCAGAATATATACATATATACATGTTCTTATATAAGTTCCGTTAACGCTCTCCCTTCGGCACATAAAAGGCGACTATGCTGGTCGTAAAAGCCAACTATGCTAGTCGTAAGAGGCGACTAACGGGATCGGGTTGTCAGGCTCGCTGACTTGGTTGATTCATGTCATCGTATCCCAATAACGTGGATCGAAACACATAATACCAATCACTGGATTGTCTGGTCCAGACTCGATTATTAACAGACCGCCGTCATATAGCTGGAATATTGCTGAGTGCGGCGTTAAACAACAAACAAACAAACACGCCCAAAACCTATGATCCTGAGTTCGGATCCCGGTTCGCCTCGATTATGTTTCTAGATTTGTCAAAATCATACCAGTGCATGTGAGTTTCACCAAAGTGGTGACGTCTGAGAGGAAGGTCCGAAGGGATGCAGACGTTTTCACTTTGGTGGTTCTGTACTGCTGGTGGTACAGAAACGAGTGTCAACCAAGCGAAGTGCCATATCGTATCGGCCGAGGCTCAGTTTTTTCATGGAGAGGCTATCTGAACGACCACTGCATCGAGTTTATGTGCAGTGTGTTGAGAGTATCAGCAACACTGCAGAGTCCTTCGCTTGGCCGGAAAACAGTAGGCTCTCTTTTTGGTGCTCAAGACCAGTCACTTCGCACTCGAAACCGTCAATGTGTGATTTTGCATCAAAATGTAAATATGAAATGTAGATTATACAATGAATTTAAAGAGATTGTCCAACATATTGTCAGTGGATGCCCAGCTTTGGCACAAACACAGTATGACATGATGGAGTGGCTCGATCCTTTTTATAACCGTCTTCGCCATGCGTCTGGTTTTGACACAGAGGTCCATCCATAGTACGACCCAGAGTATGCAGAGTGTGTCATGGAAAGTGATAAAAACAACATCCTTTGGAATAGGCCCGTATACAGCCTCAGACCTATCCAGGCCAACAAACATGATCGTGTTCGTTTTGATAAGTACAATGAAATTTTTTATATCATTGAATTTTCTGTCCCTTTTGACACTAATGTGATTCATAAGATTCATGAAATACATGACAAATATGCGGACCTCGCTTTCGAAATATCACGCTTGCATCCCAAGTACCAAGTTGTCCGACTCCCCATTGTTCTCGGTGCCTTAGGTTTGGTACCTCCCAATCTGTTGTCTGACTTTTGGAGAGTACCCGGGTGGGTGCCAGGAATACGGCCCTTCTGACAATCTGGATGATGCAGAAGGCTGCAGTGGTGGGGAGTCTTCACATTCTCCGAAAATTTCTGGGTGGGTTGGACTAGGCAGCGCTTCCTGGGAGAAGTCCAGTTCGCTGTCTGGACTGCGTGTAGAGGGGACAAGGGCCCTGAGCTGATGATGAGCCTAACAAGTCTGACTGTGCCAGGGTCACCCCAACCCTCTTTGCTGCATTTAAAAAAGATTCAATCTGTATATAATAATCAAGACACTAGACACCAGACACAAGAGAACGCAAAGGTTCAAAATACTGAACACTAAAAGTAGGGATCATAAGTATTTTTGGGGATTTGGTTTTGTAGTGTAGAAAGAACACACAATTTCATAAAACTATTCAAAAAATATTCATGATCCCTAACGACCCGTGAAGATCCGGAGTAAAATAGGTCTTCAGCAACCCATGCTTGCCGTAAAAGGCGACTATGCTTGTCGTAGGAGGCGACTAACGGGATCGGGTGGTCAGGCTCGCTGACTTGGTAGATGCATGTCATCGGTCCCAATTGCGTGGATCGATGCTTATGATATCAATCACTGGATTGTCTGGTCCAGACTCGATTATTTACAGACCGCCGTCATATAGCTGGAATATTGTTGAGTGCGGCGTTAAACAACAAACCAACCAACCAACTCATCTATATCAGAGCGACACGAAAGCGATTTGAGACCCTGTACGGCCTGATTTGCGTCTAATATACTGGCTAAGTGCGAAATGAATTCCTGTCAACTTCGAATACTATTCTTGATTCAAGGACAGAGACTGGCACGTTGGGAAACATTTGACAGTGCACTGACTTAATTCTGGATCCTGTTACGTGTTACCACTGCCATCTATCCGACCCGTTGTATTGCGTATTCTAATTCTAAACCGAAAACTGTTTGTTTCAATAAAAAAATAACTTTTTTTTACAGACCTCCGTCATATAGCTGTAATATTGCTGAGTGCGGCGTTAAACAACAAACCAACCAGCCAACCAACTGTATTCTCTTTATCACAGCTATCGGGCCTAAGGATTATTAGTTAACGGTTCTGATCAGGTTTATTAACAAACTGGACTCCATCTGCTTGAGCAGATTATTTCGCCAATGTAAATAGAATGATTGACACAGATTGATGATCAGTTTGAGGGTTGCCAATATCAACATGGATATTCAGAGCGATAACCAGCACTTGTCCCATGTGTTAGTTGTAAATATATTTTTGTACAGGCAATGTATTTTGCAAACATTCTTATACATCTAAACGCTTCATAAGAGTCACACTGTTATCAATACAAATGCAGTAAACTACGGTTCTAACGAACTCGAGGGGACCACTAATTTTAGTTCGTAATAATCGTAGTTCGTTATAAGCATACATACAGTATATATACAACAAATGGTCGGGAGTAAAAAATGAGTTCGTTATATCGGTCAGTTCTTTATAAGCGTGTTCGTTATAAACGTAGTTTACTGTAAATGACCGAATGAATAATTGTGAGTGAGTACGGGTTCATGCCGCTTTTAGCAATATTCCAGGAAAAACACGGCGGGGGACATCAGAAATAAGCTTCACAAATTGTACCCATGTGGGAATGAAAGCCGGGCCTTCAACGGGAACGCTTCAACCGCAAGGCTACTTCACCTCCCTTAAAGTTAGGAAAGAAACCCAACAGCTCATTGATGATCACTTACCTGTCGAACGAGGCCACTAACATCAGGACCAGATGGTCGCAATATATGATCTGGCTGATTGTATGTTATTGTACCCAGATGGCGTGGATCGTCAATTTGAAGGAAAGCTATTTCCAACCCTTGAGCTATTGTTGAACGCATTCAAGGGCGAGCCGCAGTGTGACCTTCACCCTGACCTTGGGTCACGTACGTAGGACGACTCAAGGACATTATTATTATTATAATCTCGCTAAAGTTGTTCTGTGCCATCTCCTGTTCTTCTGGTTCCCCTTTTAGTCCTATGGTTATAGTCCAGGCTACTTTAGGCTCTGTGCTGTGGCAGGGTCATGTCTCAGATGTGTCTCGTCCATGAGATTCTCCAAAGTGACAAGGCCTCCATCACAGAATCAATCGGGGGCACGGGTGGCCCAGTCGTCTAAGGCGCCGCGATTCGCTGTCCAGAGTTGCGTCCCTTGGGCACACCAGAAACCTATGATTGTGGGTTCGAATCCAGGTTCGCCCCGATTATGTTTCTAGGTTTGTCAGCACCATACCCGTGCTCGTGGGTTTCACCGAAGTGGTAAACGTCTAAGACCTGCATCACATTAAGCTGACACGCCGCGATATAACTGTAATACTGTTAAAAGCGGCGTTAAACACAACTCACTCACTCACTCACTCACTCACTCACTCACTCACAGAATCAATCCCATGATCGAAACCTAGTATCTAGGTATTGTCAGCACCATATCCGTGGTCGTGCGTTCTCCAAAGTTGGACAGCAAAGACCCACCCACCAAACATCAAGCTGATACGCGGAGATATTTTCTGACTGCCCTTTATTGCCCAGAGTCTTTTCCGCTAAAGGAAAAGCTGTAGGATGATGTTGGGTTGTTAAAACATACTTGGCATATGCTTTCGCTGTAGGGCTGTATTGTTTTTGGAGATTAAAAATCAATTATAAAAAATATGGGAAGGTTTGTCATCTAATAAAGAACCGTTGTCAAACAACACTAAATATTCACGTGCGTTATGCAATGTTATTGTCAAGGAACCCATGGTTATCTACCCAAGCTCATAATTTATTGTCATACCAGTACTAGACGAATATGTCTTGGGGGTAACAATAATAATGAGCATAGGTATATATTTCAGATATATTACTGCGGTCTGTAAATAATGGCCTGGTCTAGCGGATGGAGAAACATTTGCCTGGAGAGATGAAGGTCGATCCCCTGGCGCGTCATACCAAAACGATAGTATTTGTTGTTACCCTGCCTGGTGCTCGGCATTAAGGAGATAGAACAAGGATTAGTTGGCTCAGCGTCAGCATAAGTTCGGACTAGTACAAGCAGCCACACATAAAATTCACAAATACACTCAACCAAGTAACCGAGCTTTATTACACATAGGTTTACATGTACACGTAAAACATTACGGATGGAGACAGAGATTCACATGTAGGGATGCTTGGGTAGTTACCTCTTGCGTCAAGCATAGCGAGCTGGGGACTTGGTTTAACTCATGATCACAACGAGGCAATAGATATCAAGAGTGAGTGAGTTGGGTGTATGGGTAAAATGGACAGTGCAATTGCAACAAATTCACAGATAACACGAACCAAGGCAGAAAACAAAGACGAACTCTCAGTTGAGATGCGTGAGTGTCACCATGTGTTGATAGACACTGTCATAATTGTAGTCACTATGACAGAGATACGGGAATACATTTTTATCGCAGTTGATACCCGTACTGTTAGAGCTACAACGTTCTATTTCGTTTTCACATCACGTGTCCCGACAACACTACAACGAGATACGGGAATACATTTTTATCGCAGTTGATACCCGTACTGTTAGAGCTACAACGTTCTATTTCGTTTTCACATCACGTGTCCCGACAACACTACAACGAACCAGGTGGCATCCAAACTGAAATGGAGGTCGGTGTACTACTTCATCAATAATGATAATCATACAATTTCATTAAGACATCGTCGTATTCAGTAAGTTCACCGCTCTCACTGTCTGGCCACTCTGCGGCCTCATCCTGATTCAGATCACCGAATGCGCATTCGGTGTTGTACCACCAACCTGACTTCCGGTTCGAGGCACATCCGGCGGTGTTGTCCTTGTCATGCGTATAGAACTTCATACCTTGGAGCCTTGTATTGGATGGACCACCGCCAAATCCGTCCTTATAGTCAGCCTTCATCCACCCACTGGAACTAAAGGCACTATATTCCATTGCGTAACCTTCTTCTTCCGAACTCAGCCGGAAGTTCTTATATTTGGAAACATATGACCTTTGGCGTGGTTTCACGTAAAGCGTATATTCACCTTGGTCCGTTATAGCCTTAATCTTCTTGTTTCCAAGCCAGAAACATTCGCTGTTGATGTCACCGAAGCCATCCCTGTACGCTTGCCAATCTCTGAAGAAGAATTCGTCGCCACAGTCTTTCCTTCTTTGAATGGTGATGGCACTCCCGTCGCAGTACACTTGGAATGGCGTAGGGTAGTCCGCTACTTGCAAGGTGTAAACGCCGCCCGTGTTCCATGTGCGCCAATGAGAAGGACAATCTGGAAACATAGTGCCGTCTACTTGTCAAAACATCGAGCAATATGGTTGGCCACATTCGTCACCACTCGCTCCTTTCCGTAACCTGCAAGAAGACTCGGCTTGTCCCGGAATGACACGAGTTGGTCACGAATGGGTTGGCCAGTCACCGTCACCGTAAAACGTCCGTTGGCAGGACTGAACAGGGATGATGACGTCATAATGTTATGCATTCCTTCACTTAATTCAAGGGGCGGTCGGGTAGCCTAGTGGTTAAAGCGTTCGCTCGTCACGCCGAAGACCCGGGTTCGATTCCCGACATGGGTACAATGTGTGAAGCCCATTTCTGGTGTCCCCCGCCGTGATATTGCTGGAATATTGCTAAAAGCGGCGTAAAACCATACTCACTCACTCACTCACTTAATTCAATACCTCGGGGAAAATAGTGATAACCCACACAAACCTGATTTTGAGAAACTCACGTTTGAAAATGTGGGGTGACGTGAAAAAGACTAAAATTTGATTTGATAAGAAATTAAAAAGTTAAAAAACGAGTTTAAACACTGTCCATGAGATACTAACGATATATATATCAATCATATTGGAGTTTTAAGATGAAGAGGTTTAGTTTTGAATGTATTGGCTATAGCCATTTTCACTCCATACATTTGCCGAGAAATGGTTCAAAAGCCGACACGACACACCCTCATCGCGTCACTGGCCTAGCTTATGCCTTCCTTGTTTCTTCCTATGATCCACCTTTCCTACCACACGTTTCTGTCGCAGGATCAAGCAACAAATTATTTAATACTCTGTCATTCATGAGTACTCGTGAACCAGGAGCCGTTTTCAGTTCGGCGCGGCGCCAACCTCGCTCCATCCTGTAACCGCTAAAAAGACTCGGTTGTCAGTGGAGGAAACGGGGCATCTTATCCCTACACAGTAAACAGGCTTCCGGCGAAACACGTTTGCGGATGCACATTTTTTGCGTGTTACCTGCTCATCTGTGCTTAATTTTCGTTAGTCATATATATACCTCGTTACTTATTTACAATTTTTAATCCTAAATATATTTTTTAAAAATTGTACACCACAACTGTTTGAAAATATAGTTCCAACATGGTGACCGCATGTCAACAAAATCAGACGGTTACCTGCACTAGAGCATTCTAAAATAAGAAAAGAAAAAAGATTGAAATGAATACCACGTTAATTTGATTATTGGGTTTGACCCATATGTATCACAACAGGCGTGTTCAGTTATCACGGAAGCACGGATAACCTTTATATTTAAAATGTCGATAAACATTTCAGATTTCCGGGCGTTAATTTCGATTTTTTTTCTAGTAGCCTCGATCGATCTTTCGTTATTTCACGAGAGAATCTGATTTTTTTTATCTCGGTACTTTTTATACTTTCTCGTAATTTCGGAAATTTTCTCGTTATTTCAAATATATTATGTTTCGATTTTTTTTCTCGTTAATTCGATTATTTTTTTCGTTACTTGAACATCTTTCTCGAAATCTCGTTACCTTAAATATTTCTTCTTAATTTCGATTTTTCAAAGTAAACTTGAAATAACGAGAAAATAATAGAAATTACGAGAAAAGAAACGAAATAAACCCCGAAATTTAGAAAAAAATACACAAATAATTGATAAAGCGAGAAATTTCGTTTAAAATAAATAAATCTATGCTCCCAAAGTGGCACCATTAGGCTTTCGTAAGATATAGATACAACTGTTTCATGGTTTCATAGTTAAAAAAACTATTTCATGGAAAATGCGTTTTATAACCTTTAAACTCGCAGTGATACCATGAACTCGATGATATATGCCTTAGTATAATTTGGACCCGAGCGTTTTATACGTAATTCATTGTTTCAACATTTTCATATCTGTGGACATATTACATTTAATTACATTTAAATGGAGACATATCCTAATTCTGTTGGTAAGTGCACCGACAAAGACAAACATATCATGGTTTAAAGGAATACACTGTGTTGTGTTATACCTGAGATGAAAGTAGTGCAGTTGATGTTGGTTGCACCCGCGGGGCAGTCACATCCACCGCCCAGATCAGTCACACACTCCGTTGTGCCCGACGCTGGTGATGGCGTAGTGGTAGTTGTGGTTGTCGTGCTGCACGGGCTCAAAGCAAGGTCGGGGGAGTGACTGGCCCCACAAGACACCAGATTCTGAAACCACAAAGAAACAAAGAAACATGTGAGTGAGTAAATAATAGGAGACAAATTTGTTGTTGTTTTTGTTTTGTTTTGTCTGTTGTTTAACGCCGCACTCAGCAATATTCCAGCTGCATGACGTCGGTCTTTAAATAATCGAGCCTGGGCCAGATGCTAAAGTGATTGACATCAAAATCATCGATCTACTCAATTGGTATACGATGACATGCATGAACCAAGTCAGTGCCCATTTCGACAAGAGTGGGTTGCTAAAGACCAATTCGAGCCCAGATCTTCATAGGGATATTCAACTTTGATGAAACCAACGAAAGGTGTTAACAAGCTCATTGTTATAATGAGGGCCAATCTGGGATTCGAACGCGCAGTCGTGTTATTCTGGTACACATAAGGCACGCAACTCTTCAAATCTAAATGTGGCACCTTAAACGGCCTTGCTGAAAGCTGGTGAGGTGAGGTGAAATGGGGTTTAACGTCGCGTCCAAGATTATTGCACTTATATAGCGACGTGCATGCACGTGTGTGTGTTTGTGTGGCTGCTTGTACTAGTCCGGACTGATGCCGATTTATAGTGCTATCCCACTGAGATACCATGCCGCAGTTTAACATGAATACCCCACTCAGACACAGTATACTGACTCCGAGCCGAACAGTCCTTGTTTTAGCCCCTTAATGCCGAGTGCCAGACAGGGTAACAACAAGTACCATCTTTTAACGTCTTTTGGTATGACGCGGCCGGGGATCGAATCCCGGACCTTCCGCTCTCCGGGCGGACGCTCTACCACTAGACCACGGAGGCGGTCTGCTGAAGGCTGGGGTGGATCTATAATAAATAATGATGCTAGACATAAAACAATGGCAATACTAGAATATATGAAAGGTTACCTCGAGACTTTTCCAGTAACCTTCTAACAAAAGATAATGTCGATTACAGACATAAAACAGTGGCAATACTTGTAATATTAGAAAGATTACCTCGAGACGTTTCTTGGAGTAATGAACGCGACAGTGTGACAAATCATCACTGTGCATGACGTTGAGTGTGACGTTGACGGTGACAAGGCCACAGGCCATCAAAGGGGTGCTACTCTGTTGGCAGAGAGCGACTGCCACACACCAAGCTTTTCGCTCACACATTGATGCGCAGAGCACTCTGGATGAAAGCGTGTGAGCCTCCATGACTTTCCAGGCAAAGGCGAGGTCAAGGTTGTCAGTTGTGCTGGTCAAAGATATGGCGGACAGGTTAGCAGATATCGGCGCCGCCAGCAGGAGAGCCATTAACAGACCGCAAAGTGGTGCCGCAAACATGTCTTGAACTGTAGAATCAATTCGTACTTCTTTATTCCACCACCTGATTGTGGCTGATGGAATCAACACCAAAAGTCTTTAATCTCGGGTATTTCAGACGAAAACCAAAGGCTCACCAGATTGCCAGAATTACATTTGTCAGGATACACCAATAGCAATACAACTTAATCAAACATGCGCTGTCACAGAGTTAAGAATGTCTGCAGACACGAGCCAATGTGAACTGAGCAACGCCCCAATTCCTTCGACATCTAGGACAAACTGACAGCTCGGTGATCTCACACCAAATCAGACAATAACGATATGTATCCTTGTTAAGGGCATCAGTTGGACGATACCGAGCCCATATCAAGAATATCTACCTGCCTCAACTTGATCAACTTAACAGTTTAGGTTTCTTAGATCTGCGTGAGCACAGTTTTCGATAGCTTCATTGTTTGTTGATTGACCAGTGTAGAGAATAAGATCAAATATCAGGATGGTCTGGTTTCAGTTGTCAAATAAGATTTGAGTTTGGTGTCGTCATTGATCGGCTTCATCCGGGACCGCTTTTCACCATATCGACGTTTCCGACAATGGGCATTGAAGAGTTAACCTACTGACTAAAATGTCTTTTCTTATAAGGAATAATGCCAGACGGATGTCATTGAGGACGCTGTGTGTTGGTGTATACATGACATCCCATCCCACTTGATGCATCCCTATCAGTTTCCGCTGTTCTACACATTCACTCGGTTATGTATATACGGGCATTGCTGGTTTATGTTGTCAAACATGAAACCTTTTCTCGTCCACAATGCTTGATATTTATGTTGTGCCACAAATATACTGTTTGTGGACTGCGTTTGATAGTATGGATTGCAGACACTTTCAAGAGGTTCCGTCGGTACTGAAAATGGTAAAGTATTTCATCTATCTATTGGACAGTGGGTTTTACACAATAGTGCTAACGGTAAGTACACGGTTATCGTGACCGGTATTTGTTGATAAAAAATAAATATACTCTTCAAAAAATGAAACGCGAAACGGATAATTTTGGCCATAAAAACAAAATTAGAGGACCAAGAGGTGCAAAATGAAGAGGTTTGATGTGTTGTAGTGTCACAAACAAATTTCCCGGATCAAACTGATCACAAGGACATGCAAACCATTAGTCGGGAAACACGTACGATTCGGAAAAACGCACCCAGTGCGTTAGCAAAAGGGGGTCAGAGCTGCACGTACTGCACGTGCAGCAGCACAATGAACGGTATTAAAGTGAATAGTTTTTGATAGCCTGGCATCGACGTCAATTGAACAGGGACAATTCAGCAACATGCCAAGATTAACAGAAGTGAAGAGAAACAACGTCATAGGCCGCTTGCAGGCGGAGGAATCCGGATGAGCTGTTGCAAGGGTTTTCAATATAGCGCCCAGCACCATCACAAGGCTATGGGATCGGTTTTAACAGCATGGGGCAACACGTGATCGGCTAAGGTTGGGCGACCAAGAGTAACCATCCCCGCCTAAGATCGCTACATCCGACTGCGCCACCTACGTGAAAGGACGACCACAGCCACCTCAACCGCATCCCAAATACCCGGACAGCGCAGAATCTCCAAACAGACCGTCATATTTAGTCGACAACATCGTCAACATTGGTGCATTGTTGTCGTCAACACAGGGAATGGCCTCAACTGCGATGGAGAGATGTCTGGTTCAGCGACGAATCAAGATTTCTCCTCCGTCGAGGGAATGGAAGAGCACGGGTCTTCAGACATCGGGGAGAACGTTACGCCGGAAACTGCGGTGCCCCGGTACAGGAAGTGGATAGGTTTGGTTTGGGTTGCGTTATGATGTGGGCGCCTATCTCTCGGATTTGAACCCGAAGGAGCACCTGTGGGATGAATTGGATAGACGTCTACGCCGACGTCAACCACAACCCCAGACGTTGCAACAGTTGGCCTTTGCGTTGCAGGCCGAGTGGGATACCATTCCCAAGGTTGTGATTGGCATCCTCGTGGGCAAGAGATGTCAGGCTGCTATCGATTCCAACGGGTGACATACGCGTTATTGATGGTAGTTGACCTTCACCTTGGACTTTTCCTATGTACCGATAACTGAGATGACTACAATCACCAAGTGTTCTCTCTACAACATTGTGGCTCAATACGTTGTACGGTTCCTCGTACAAATGTATTTTCCTACCTCATACAAATCTGGCTTTGCGTTTCTTTTTTTAAGAGTATATCGTGTTTTCTTTTGTAGAATTTTTCGTTCAGATCCTTATTGATAAATGAGATGGAGTAACAGGTTGTTCGCAAAGGAAACATATCTACAACCTCTGAAAACTAACTGGGATTATAAACAGCATTAAAATTAACCTTTTATCTGAAAAAATGCCACTGTAGCTCACCTGGATATGTAGTCTAAGTGTAGAATGTCAACAAAGATCGCCTTCAGACAAAAGTTTTCAGAATTGACATTAAAATATGTCCTACATAAAAACTGAGGACAAAAGACTGACACTAACATCTGAAAAAAATATGAGAATATGAACAAAATATGATGTCATCCTAAGGAGAAACAAACATTCCAAACCTCAGTTTCATAGGAGAAGAAGCTTACAGAGCCAAGTATGCATTTTGAGAGAATACAAGAACATGGTAACAAGAAGTCAAAATTTTTAAATATTGCAAAAGAACGGAACATAAGTGTGAATCCTACAATTAACTAAACAAATATCAAATTTCAGTACATTTAGACATAAATCGCTATAAAAAAACTTTTTTTAATATGGTCGCTGCGTGAAATCGGAGTTGAACGTCTTGAACAAATTCAGGTGGCATCAATAGTGGGACCTATCATGCGAAGTTCCAAGGGTCAGTCCCAACTGCATGGATTGCTGTCAATCACTGGATTGTCTGGTCCAGACTCGATTATGTACAGACCCCCGACATATAGCTGGAATATTGCTGAGGCGTTACACAACAAACAAACAAACAATCCAAGGGTCAGCTGGTGTAGACTGAGGAGGTAGCGTCTACAGTGTCAGGAAATGAAATTTAGGAGCACGGCCATCATGTTGAAACGTCAAAGGTCAAATGAAGGTCAAAATGACTTACTACTGGTTGCAGCTTTCAGAATGTGCAACGGAGAAATCAAGGTTAAAATGTAAAATATCGCAAAAAGACGGAACATGTATGATCAGCCTACTAATGAGTACATGTGTACCATATATCATTACATTGTCAACAAAGATGGCTGACTTATGGCCACAAGGTGAGGTGAGGTGAAATTGAGTTTAACGTCGCGTCCAAGATTATTGCACTTATATAGCGACGTGCATGCACGTGTATGTGTGTGTGTGGCTGCTTGTACTAGTCCGGACTGATGCCGATTTATAGTGCTAGCTCACTGAGATACCATGCCGCAGTTTAACATGAATACCCCACTCAGACACAGTATACTGACTCCGAGCCGACCAGTCCTTGTTTTAGCCCCTTAATGCCGAGCGCCAGACAGGGTAACAACAAGTACAATCTTTTAACGTCTTTTTGTATGACGCGGCCCGGGATCGAACCCTGGACCTTCCGCTCTCCGGGCGGACGCTCTACCACAAGACCACGGAGGCGGTCTATGGCCACAAGGAGTTCCAGCCTTGTGTCGTCGATATTTAATGGTTAAATCAAGGTTAAACTATATTATTAAAAATGTCTCACTATTTGCCAAAGGGCTGCTGTGGCGGACATTATGAAATTTGGACTAGAACCTCTTGAACAAATTGGGTTGACATCATGAGTGAGAACATTCATTGATTCAGTGGATACGGCGGAGATAATATTTACAGTGAGAGGAAATGCATTTTAAGTGTTTATTTGTTGTTTAACGCCGCACCCAGCAATATTCAAGCTATATGACGGCGATCTGTAAATAACCGAGTCTGGTCCAGACAATACAGTGATTGACATCATGAGCATCGATCCACGCATATGGGATAGTTAGTTAGTCGCCTCTTACGACAAGCATAGTCGCCTTTTATGACATGCATGAGTTGCTGAAGACCTATTCTCCCCCGTATCTTCACGGGTCACATTTTAAGTGAATTTAAGAGCATGGTCAACATGGTCAAAAATCAAAAATCAAATATAGGTCAAAACTTAAATGTCGATAAACAAACCGGAATATTTGTGTTAAGTCAGACTCCACACGTACCAAATTCTGTTACATTTTCAAAATGGCCATAAATATTTTTTTTCAAATTGCCTCCGTGACGGCTATGTTGTAAATCGGATTCTTACCTCTTGAACACACTGATGTGTCCTCATTGGTGGGGAAAGTATTGAAGTTTCAGCCTCATTGGACGAGTGGTGTCTGTGGAGAATATGTTTACGATGATCAAAGGGTGACAGACAAACAGGACATAACATAAGCTCACGGGTGAGCTTTAATGTACCGCTGGGGTGTGTCGAAGTCTGATCGTTAAAGCATTCGCTCTTCACTCCAAAGGCCCGGGTGTGGTTCCCCAAACTGGTACAACGCGTGAAGTCCCTTTCTTGTGTCCTGCCAAGCAAACCGGACATTGGACCATAAAAATCCAGATAGCCTTTACTGTTTTTTTTAAAACTAAAAACGATATGATAATTTTAGATAATGTACAAGTGCAGAGATCCTGCTGCTTAAGATATATGTTCGTTATACAACACAGTTGGGGTCAGTTTTGTTGTCTCGGCCCAAACGTATCTTTTGTAGTTGACTCTTGAACCAAGAGAAATTCGCTAAGGACTCGTACAACGATTTGCTTTCCTCATATTTGTTTGTTTGTTTGTTTGTTTGTTGTTTAACGCCGCACTCAGCAATATTCCAGCTATATGACGGCGGTCTGTAAAATAATCGAGTCTGGACCAGACAATCCAGTGACTGACATCATGGGCATCGAGCCACGCCATTGGGATCGATGACATGCATCAACCAAGTCAGTGAGCCTGACCACCCGATCCCGATAGTCGCCTTTTACGGCAAGTATGGGTTGCTGAAGACCTATTCTACTCCGGAATCTTCACGGGTCTGTTCCTCATATTTATTGGTTCAGGCTAATTGGCAGACATAGCAGTTCAATTCATTCAAGTATGTTTGTCTGCTATCTCACATTTATGATGTATAACAGTCTAGCATTAAGTGATAATCTTAAAAAAGCAGGTGATAAAGTATGAGTTACCCCGCAGGGACCTAATCACAATGTCCAGAACTGCACCAGACACGGTCAACAGCCAGTCAACATTGTTCCTGGCTCATTAGAATTGCAAGATCGTTGGTGTTTAATATTTCCAGTTGAAATTGGGAACAAATCTGAAGGTAGTTTAGAATGCTATATATGTACTAGCGACAAACGACGCTGTGGCGTTGCAAGGAATAGTACATCATGCATGAACAGCACGTGATACACGTGATACACAATATTTGTGCGCATATAGGGGAACAAGCACTCATTAATGCACTTGAACTACACACACGCTTAGGATGCTAGTGAGTATCTCAATGAGTGAATGAGTATGGTTTTACGCCGCTTATAGCAATATTCCAGCAATATCAAGGCTCCACACATTGTACCCATGTCGGGAATCGAACCCGGGTCTTCGGAGTGACGAGCGAACGCTTTAACCACTAGGCTACCCGACCGCCCCTCATCTCAATGAACAGAGAGAGAGAGAGTGTAGCCAGATAATACCCTCCAACGTGGCACAAGTTGGGAAGCTCTTCAGGCGGAATGACGGCCAATACCAATGGCAACCACACCCACGATAATCAACAGTATCCCATCAAGGTGTCGTGCATGTACCGCCCAAAATGGTGGACACACCTGGTATAAATCTACACGCCCGGTATTAATTTTACAGGCATTATCGTCATAACACCTTTACTATCATTTCATCAGTTTCCTTAATTTTGGTGGTATAATTATTATACTAAACATGAAATTGTATAAAGGGTGAAATGGGGCGAAATTGTGTGAGTGTCTGCTTGTGCTCGTCTGGACTCATGGCGGTTTAACATGTATACCCAACTCAGGTACAGAAAACATAGCTACGTGCATGCACATGTGTGTGAATGTGTGCGTTTGTGTGAGGCCGCTTGTACTAGTCTGGACTTATTCGGACTCCGGGCCGACCAGTCCTTGTTTTATCCCCGTAAAGCCGAGCGACAAGTACGTCTGTGTACGTCTTTTGATATGACGCGGCTGGGGGCTCGAACCACCGACCTTCCTCAGACGCTTTTTTCACAAGACGAAAGTATAAAAAAACCTTTTATTTTCAACAACACTAACATGACTACTAAACGCAAATTGTTTCGCGAAGTATTTACATGTAGAACATAACATGGTGTTTTCCAGAATTTACCAATATCTAGTGAAAGGTCGGGGGTTCGATCGCCGACCGCGTCATTCCAAGAGACGTTAAACGGTGGTACTTGTTGGCGCTCGGCATTAAGGGGCTAAAACAAGGACTGGTCGGCTCGGAGTCAGTATACTGTGTCTGAGTAGGGTATTCATCTTAAACTGCGGCATGGTGTCTCAGTGGGCTAGCACTATATAATCGGCATTAGTCCGGACCAGTGTGTATGATACTACCAAATCAATCAACATAATCAGAACCAATGTAGGATTTGAACCCCACGATAAGGGATCAAGGTAAGCCTTGGACACAACGGTGTGGAGAAACCAAATCGGCATCCTCCCAAAACTTCTACGGCTTAAAACAGCAAACTAAAAGGTCCAGTGCACGGCAATTCCCCTGCTTCTTCCTGGTCTTCATTGATATGAATCAGTCTGAATATGCCCAACAACACCAAACACAAGATATGACTCGGGGTAAAGTGATGAGTTCATTGTTTAGCTCTATTCATGATATACTATCGTTCATTGAATGCTTTTGTGACAATATTTCCCAAAGCTTAAGCTTCTTAAAGGAAGGGCATTGGGGTCTTCTGTGCAAGTTAGGGCTGGTCCTTCAGAGGATACAAATGATTTTCAGTCTCCCGGTATAATTATTTGTTTTCTTCCTGGGGCTGTGCCAAAGTAGGCTACCTTGGCCTTATCTACTGCCTCACTCCTGTTGATGAACCTGAGATGTTTGGATGACAGTGGGGCATTTAAGCAGTTGTGAAAGCCCTCTAAATACCGCATTCACATGCACAACATTTACTCACGTCAGTAATTTTCCGCAAGTGTAAATATGCCTAAGTGTTTATTATGCGTTCACATGAAAATTAACTTGGCTGTGTAAATAAGATATGCAAATAGTGTAAGGCACACATATTCATCAGTCTCGTTATAACTTTCAGCGTCTAATGCAAAGACCGTCTCGTTACTTACTGTGTGCGTCTTTCGACACTCGTCTTTCCGAGGAAACGCTTATTTGGACGAAAGGTCGATAGTCAACATAGTGAAAAAATCTAAATGCATCTGATGAAGCAACATGTGTTTGATTTAATCGCTACACAACTTTTTGACTGATTGGAACTCAAAGAAAACACTGTCCATCCAGCTCTGGATGTCCGAATAAAAGGTGGTGTTGCTGTATACTGGAAGGCGTCAACTCCAGAATGCAAGTCAACTATGTGTTGATGTGTCCATGATGTCTGCCTAGCAAGTGTTGATCCTTTAATGGACAAGTACGTCATATCTTCCTTAGATGAAAACTCAAAGGCAAAAAAACGCTACGTGAAAAAAGGTGTTCCCAAACTGTACTGGGGCCATAGTAGGGTTTCATATTCCGATCAATGCCCCACAAGAACCTCACGCAGATCATCTACACCGTAAGGGTTAGTAGCTTATGTGTTCTGCGAATCATCAAAATCGTCAGATGACCCTACTCCGTGTTCTTGCTATAACAAGAAACTAACGTTAAGAATAAAATGTTTTGTGTATTATCTCTCTATTTGAAGTGTCTTGGACTTGAATCTCTTGTGATAAAAAATTGTTGTCATTTATATTCTTGTCTAGAGAGTTTCCCCTGAAAGGCAACAGTTTGTCAGAAAGTAGACTTTCATTCACAACTAAATACACATGTGTAATGTTTTGCTAAACATTCAAATGACAACATATACCATCTTCAACAAAAAGGAAACGCAAATGTCGATTTTTAGTAAATTTATTGTACTTAATAAAGTCGATATATTTAATTTAATATAATATATACACATGTCACATGCTGTCGTTATACGAAGGCATTAAAAACATTGTCACATAAGGCCACAAGGTTGTGATGAACTCAGTATCTCGTGTGACCGCCCCGGGCAGCAATCACGGCTCTGTATCTCCGCGGCACTGACTGGATAAGTGTATGAATTCTGTCCTGCGGAATTCTGCGTCATTCTGCGTCATTCTGCTTGTAACGCCTTGGCCAGTTGTGGGAGTGTCAGCGGCGTGTTCTGGCGTTGACGTACACGTCGATCAAGTTCATCCCAGAGGTGTTTGATTGGGTTGAGATCTGGAGATCTCGACGGCCAGGGCAAGTCACTGATGTTGGCATTATGAAAGGTAGTCTATCCGTGACACGAGCTGTGTGCGGTGGAGCGTTGTCCTGTTGAAATAGTTCTCTTTGGCGGTCAATGATTTTAAGAAGGTGAGGTTGAAGAATTTGAATCATGAATCGATTTGCTGTCATATGTCTCTGAACCACAACCAAGTCAGATCTCGTGGTGTAGGATATGGCCGATATAACTCTTGGCCGCTCGGTTCTCGGACGGTCTGCAGTGGAATTGAACTGTGTGTATCGGTCACAAAGGCGGCAAATGGTGTTGTGGTGGACGTTGAAGTGGCGTGCAGCAGAAGACAGCGCTGAGTCTCGGCATTTTCGAACTTGAAAAATGTTGACAATTGAATGACAAATTATTGGCTTATGCTTGACTTTTTTAAAGCCCATACCATGAGTTACGAATGCCATAACTTGCACGTGCATTTTGCTTTACTGTTTTCCTACATGACATTTTTTTAACAATTCTGAAAACAATGCCGTTTAAGACGTGCGTTTTGAATCACCGTTTGTCGAATATCAGGCCACCAACATTTTCCAATAACATACATCTATTTGATATACCCGATTTTTTGTGTAGTCAGGTTCAATGAACTACATACTACCTGTGCGTTTCTTTTTTTGAAGAGTGTACAAACAGTGTTAATTTCCTCAGCTTCATGACGAACTTGACTCGATGACGATCATCCGGGGAGTGGTTATGCTCATCTTACTGAGTCTAGGGAGTTAGCTGACTATAAAAGTCCAGTTTCCTCTCTTGACGAACTAGGCTGGAATTATGGATATTTTGGCTGGACTAACGAATCTATGCATAGTTCCGGTACGTCAATTGTCGTGCAGATTTCGATCGATTGCAGGATTTGCAAATCATTTGTACCGACAACTTAGCATTAACAGATATGTTCCAAATCTTTTCATGTTTTAATCAAGGTGCTCCCGTGATTTAGTGAACTTCTCGAAGTTATACATGTCTTGTTACAATGTAGATCTTGATTATCGATCAGATCGTCTTCAATTGGCGCCGCCATTTTGTCTAAAGCAAATGCAAGTGATATCAGAGGTGCAATCTGATTGGTCGATAGGAGGGACATAGAAGGGAGATAACTCATAATAGCCACTGGTGGCCCTACGATCGAACCCAGAAATACCAGCCTATTTCGGATCTTACTTCACAAGGTGCATCAAATCACGTGAGCACCTTGATAAAACATGAAAAGATTTGGAAAATATCTGTTGACACCGAGTTGGCGGTACACTTGCTTTTCAAATTCTGCAACCGACTGAAATCTGTACATCATGAAGATGCTGGATTGGAGAGACAAAAAACATGGTTTGTTTTAGCATTTATTTAGCACTGACGGACGCATGTACAGTATTAAAATATAAGAATGATGTTAAATTTTGTTAAATGCAACAATGTCGACTGACTGGACGAAATCTTCGAAGGCTGTAATGCTCTCCTCCAGGAAATCTGTGCCCACCTGAAAACAAACCATTGATGAGAAGAGATAGAGAATCTAGACCTTGTCTAGTGATACCCAATATACAAACAACAAAAACATTATAACTCAGGTGCTTGTTTAGTTGTTTTAACTTTTATTGAGAGCTGATCTATCTGATATCAACGACAGAAGGGTGAGATACACAAAGGGGATATTCTACTTATCTTCCAAAATAACACACCAACAAACAAGAATATATTCTCATCCCACTTCAAACTGATCAGTGAAAAATTCATATCCATTCATATTCATATTTATTCTAAAATCATATCAAAGTTTGGTACATTGTCAGGGGAATAAAAACATGGAAGTTAATTTCAACTTTTAACAAATTCAAATTAAAAAACTTCATATGCGTTAAACTGTTTTGCAATAAGTATACCCTGTGCAACCAGTCATCATCATGGAATCCTGTTGTCCATGTCTGAGAGAAACAAGGGACATTACTCTGTTCCATGGCTACTGCATTGATGTGATATTTGAAGAAACACATTTTGTCTACCTTCAATTTCACGTCCAAATTTCATGTCAGGGTCAGTCCAAAGAGAAATCTTGGATTTTGATCAAATGTGGAAAAATCCATGCATTGCAAATGTATATATATTTTTAGAGCTCTTAAAGATCATCTGCCTTATTTTCTAATGTTGGTTTTAACGATTCCTTGAATGGATGGAATATATTCCAGTATAATAAATACTCTTCTTGAATGTTTTGAGAGAGAGAGAGAGAGAGAGAGAGAGAGAGAGAGAGAGAGAGAGAATTCCAGGAATTTCTACAAACTAAATACCCATAATCTGGGGATTGTCCAAGGGGGAACGAAGAACTCGACCATTTCTCCACCAAGCTCCCAGAGTTCCTCAGATTTATCTCGGAATGTTTTCAAGGATCAGACAAACACATCTTACTCTGGCTGATTTTGAAATTCCTGTCATTTTAACAAGGCATACAAAACAATTGTGCCTACTTCATAATGTGCTGCAGTAAATGTCCAAGGGGGAACGAAGAACTCGACCATTTCTCCACCAAGCTCCCAGAGTTCCTCAGATTTATCTCGGAATGTTTTCAAGGATCAGACAAACACATCTTACTCTGGCTGATTTTGAAATTCCTGTCATTTAAACAAGGCATACAAAACAATTGTGCCTACTTCATAATGTGCTGCAGTAAATGTCCAAGGGGGAACGAAGAACTCGACCATTTCTCCACCAAGCTCCCAGAGTTCCTCAGATTTATCTCGGAATGTTTTCAAGAATCAGACAAACACATCTAAGTCTGACTGAACGAGAGATTCCAAACATATATGAAATAGGCTCTCTGACTCTAGGGCACTGGTGACCTGATGGCACCTGAATCCCCACGTCTTCCCAAGGCAAGAAAGTCCACTAGCCTCTTTATCAAAGTCTTCTTTCCACCCTTGCCATACCATGCCCACTTTCCTGTGCTAAATATGATAGGACTATCGCACATATCAATCCCCCCCCTTACCCTGTCAAAAATAGTCATCATTAGTAAAGGTGTGGTCAATGTCATACATTTCCAAGAGGAGGATGAAAATATAGAAGCTATGAACATACGAAAACAAAAGGGGAGGGGTGCTTCACCTTTTCGCAGGTGTATACTAAACAAAGCCATTTTGAACATGATGAATGAATGTTGTTTTATGCTTCAATCAGAAATGTTTTAGTTATATCACAGCAGGCTATAAATATTACAGGTACTCGAGTCTGGCCAGGGAACCCTGTGATATATGCATGCAGTGTTCGGGGCATCAAGAATTGAGTTAGGAGCTAGGTTCAGTGATCACAACAACGACAGCAGCGTGTAGGGAATTCGAGTGAGGTGTTCTATGTTAGTTCAGTTTAAATCAGTGTTTGAAAATATTTTTAAATCCAACAAGACAGTCAGGCAGGTCCACAAATGATGCCTGCCCATCTTCCAAGTTACCTGACAGCATTCGGACATCATAAATATTGAAACAACACCAAAAATAAGAGAAAAATTGAATATTGATTCAGTTGATATAATGCCAACAATTACTTGAGTGAGTGAGTGGGTGAGTGAGTATGGATTTACACCGCTTTTAGCAATATTCCAGCAATATCACGACGGGGGACACCGGAAATGGGCTTCACACATTGTACCCATGTCGGGAATCGAACCCAGGTCTTCGGCGTGACAAGCGAACGCTTTAACCACTAGGCTACCACAATTACTTGAGAATTTATCTATATAACTGAATATGTTAGCAGTCTTTCACCTATCTGCCAGGCAGTCTGACAGGTGGAGAAACATTTCCTGCAGCCCTACAGAAAAGTTATTAAATGATTTTCTGTTGTATTGCAGTCGTAATGGAGTCGTATTAATATCGGTCTTAATATTCCAGCTATATGACGGCGGTCTGTAAATAATCGAGTCTGGGCCAGACAATCCATTGATTGACATCATGAACATCCATCCACGCAATTGGGATCGATGACATGCATGAACCAAGTCAGCGAGCCTGACCACCCAATCCCGTTAGTCGCCTTTTACAGCAAGCATGGGTTGCTGAAGACCTAACCCGGACCTTCACGAGTCACATGAGACTGAGCTATGAACCATGCCACCAACATAGGTTGGCACACAGGTCTTACATTGTGACCACACAACCCTCATATAGTAGTGCTGGGGACCTATGTTGTCCTGGAATGTCTACGAACTAAACACCCAGTGCCTGGGGATTGTCTGAGGGGGAACGAAGAACTCGACCATTTCTCCACCGAGCTCCCAGAGTTCCTCAGATTTTTCTCGGAATGTTTTCAAGAATCAGACAAACACATCTAAGTCTGGCTGAACGAGAGATTCCAATATTCATTGAAATAGGATCTACTACTGATAATCTGCATCGTGTTAATCCACCTCCTTACCTTGTCATCTTCCACTACACACATAATCTGCAGCGTGTTAATCCACCCCCTTACCTTGTCATCTTCCACTACACACATAATCTGCATCGTGTTAATCCACCTCCTTACCTTGTCATCTTCCACTACACATAATCTGCAGCGTGTTAATCCACCCCCTTACCTTGTCATCTTCCACTACACACATAATCTGCAGCGTGTTAATCCACCCCCTTACCTTGTCATCTTCCACTACACACATAATCTGCAGCGTGTTAATCCACCTCTTACCTTGTCATCTTCCACTACACACATAATCTGCAGCGTGTTAATCCACCTCCTTACCTTGTCATCTTCCACTACACGCATAATCTGCATCGTGTTAATCCACCCCCTTACCTTGTCATCTTCCACTACACACATAATCTGCAGCGTGTTAATCCACCTCCTTACCTTGTCATCTTCCACTACACACATAATCTGCAGCTTGTTAATTCCATAACCGACAGGGACGAGTTTGGCTGAAATGAGAAAGACATACTTGAGAGGACATCCCAGAATGTGCTGCTGGACAGACACAACCTATCCCAACTTACATGAGACTTCTGTTTGCAACAACTTCCGCAACATATGCATATTCTGTACCTGAGGCAAAATACAAGTGAAAGGGTGTTTTCAATTTCAGCCCATCCAATAATAAGGTAGGTAGGTTTATATTCACTGAGCAGGGACTGACGAATTGATATTCGGGGGAGAGAGTTTATTTTATTGAAAAATATATATTTGTCCCCAAAAATGAGTATGGTTTTATGCTGCTTTTAGCAATATTCCAGCCATATCACTGCGGGGGACACCAGAAATGGGCTTCACACATTGTACCCATGTGGGGAATCGAAACCGGGCCTTCAAGCAAACACTTTAACCACAAAGCTACCTCACTGCCACGCCCGTTCATGAAAATACATAATAACATGACGCCCACAGCTGACAATACCTACATGACCCCTACAGCTGACAATACCTACATGACCCCAACAGCTGGCAGTACTCACATGACCCCCACAGCTGACAATACTCACATGACCCCCCCCCCTCCCCCCGACAATACTCACATGACCCCCACAGCTGACAATACCTACATGACCCCCACAGCTGACAATACTCACATGACCCCCACAGCTGACAATACCTATATGACCCCCACAGCTGACAATACCTACATGACCCCCACAGCTGACAATACTCACATGCCCCCAACAGATGACAATACTCACATGACCCCCACAGCTGACAATACTCACATGACCCCCACAGCTGACAATACCTACATCGTAACATGACCCCAACAGCTGACAATACCCACATGACCCCAACAGCTGACAATACCCACATGATCCCAACAGCTAACAATACTCACATGATCCCCACTTAAGTCCATCTGTTGCGACAGTTCGAACCTGTTTCTCGAGATCCTTCATGTCTGTCTCGTCATCCCAGGGTTTCACCTCCAAGATGATGTTACTCTTGGCGATCAGTACAGGCTCTGTAACAAACACACACACGATGTTTGCCGATATTGCATAATCACGTGGATTATAAATAACTGAAGGCTTAAGGCCTGTGCTTACATTGACTATGCAGATACCATTTGGAGGGAGTCATACTGCCAGATTCCGGGGGAGGCTGTAAGTCATCATCACAGAGACATGTGACAGTTGGTCATCAATAGCAAATAAAAATTGCAATATTTTCAAACAAACATATTTTTTTTATTATCAAAATTATTACAATATTTCCGAGGGTGTTGTTTCTATTCATGATCAAAACCAGGTAAATCTTTAGATAAACAGCATTACTATCAAGCTGTCAAAAGTTTTGACCATGGATCATATTAGTGGCCTCGTCTAAAGTGTGACCGTCCTACCCATGTGACACCAACACTACCCAACTCACTCTTTGCCTTCCTGGCAGCGTACTCTGCCACCCGCTTCTTTTTCTCAGCTTCCAATGCTGCATCTGCTTCATCATCAGATCCGAACATATCGATGTCATCGTCGTCATCGTCATCATCAGCCGGCTTCTTGGCTGCTGCGGACCCTGCACCTGCACCGCCGTATGTGCTTAGGTCTTTCTTCTGGCCTGGAAAACTATGGAAGACAACAAGTGTCATAATACTGAGTGAGTGAATGTTTCTTGTTTAACGTCGCACTCAGCAATATTCCAGCTATATGACGGTTGTCTGTAAATAATCAAGTCTGGCCCAGACAATCCAGTGATTGACATCATCGATCCACGCAATTGGGATAAGATGACATGCATCAACCAAGTTAGCGAGTCTCACTGCCCGATCCTGTTAGTCGCCTCTTACGACAAGCATGGGTTCCTCAGAGTTCTGCCAAGGCAGCTGCCTCGCAGGATTCTTACAATGATGTATTGATTGGCACATACTTTTTATGGTCAGTGGGACATCAGGCACAACCATGCAGATGGGTTTATTTTATATAATTATGGGAATCAATGACAGTGTCAAAAATATTTTCGGGGACAGCTACATCAATTATTGAATGTAACCGTCCTGATGTTTTTTGCCTAATGAGTCTCAATTTACAATAAGAGCCTTTCATTGGAGTACAATTACAAATGGTCCAATCAGAATCAAGTGTACACCTCTTTGCAAACATTGTAGTCAATAGTTCTGGTAATACCAAAGATGTTTGTGCTCCAAATGACCCGGGAATAAAAGGACCACATGTAATAGCAAAAATGATACGTATATTTGTATCGCAGTTCATTGCAATGATTCATGTCTTGCATGATTTCGTAAGACACATTGTGATATGTATTAATAAGTATTTCATGTGGTATACTGGTAATACCGGTAACACTACCTAGTTAGCGATACACAGAATGTTTTGCATGGCGCATCTGACAGTGACCATGGAAACAGACAGGAAAGATAGAAAAATTAAGTGAGTGAGTTGGGTTTTATGCCGCTTTTAACAGTATTCCAGCTATATCACGGTGTGTCAGCTTAATGTGGGAGGAAACCCAAAGTGATGCAGGTCTCAGACATTTACCACTTCGGTTAAACCCACTAGCACGGGCTTGGTGCTGACAAACCTAGAAACATAATCGGTGCGATTCGGGATTCGAACCCACGATCATGGGTTTCTGGCGTGCACAAGGGACGCAACATTGCACAGCAACATTGCACAGCGAATCGCGGTGCCTGGGACGTCTGGGCCACACATATCCCCAGAAAAATTGAGAAACGAAGAAATTGTCAATGACTAAGTGTGGTTACAGCATAACTTAGAAAGAAATATTACTACATGTCAGGTTTGTACAAATTATGTGAAATCTAATTCAATTCTGTGTATTGCTAATGTTCCTTATGGACATAGATTCTACATCAAGTACCAGCAGCTCGACTTTTAAGGTTTATATGATCTCTCAGAGTGTGGCCCCATAAGGTTTGCAAATGTATTTTTGCTGAAGGGGTCTCTATACCCACTTGTTCAGTTTCTTGGAGGGTTGGTTGGTTTGTTGTTTAAGGCCGCACTCAGCAACATGCCAGTTATATGACAACGGTCTGTAAATAATTGAGTCTGGACCAGACAATCCAGTGATTAATATCATGAGCATCTATCCATGCAATTGGGATCGATGAAATGCATCAACCAAGTCAGAGAGCCTCACCACTTGATCTTCAAGGGACAGGTGGTCTAAAGAGAGTAGAGTGATTGAGTATGGCTTTACACCTCTGTTAGCAATATTCCAACAATAAAAACATGAGGGGACACACATTGTACCCATACGTGGAATCGAACAGGGACATAGCCTACAATGGGGCTTGCTGGCTGGTAGTTATATAAGAACAGAACTATAGCATGGTTTACCTGTTCCGGTCATTGCCATAAGATGCAATGTGGCTGTACCATCGGAGAGCATGAGGAAGACCAGCCCCAGGTGCACCGGACAATGCAGAAAATACAACATTGTCACCTTGAGATGGGGTGTACCTGGAACCAAACATCAAACAAATCAATTGCACATGTAGGGCTCGCTTGAATAGTTGAGTCTTTTCCTGAGAAGGCAGCGTTCAAAATTAGCACTAGTCCTGTAGTCCTTGCCAAACTGTCAGGTATCATAAGGACTAGTAGAAATTTGCCATTTGTAAGGGTTTTGCTATATGTTATCATCATGAGGACTAGTACTAGTAGTAGACAAAAAATGCTAGTTCCAATCACTGGAAGGCTTTGTACTCCTCAAACAGCTGTCATATGAACTTTTAAAGAATATGGTAGTTGCAATGCATTTAATCAATTACTATTATTCCATTAATAGTTTTTTTTGTCTAGTACATGTTTTATGATTTTTGTACTTATATATCGTCTCAATAAAATAAATAAAACTATATTATAATTCTCTGATTGTGGTAAAACTAGAATGACTAAAAGGTTGCCTGAGAAGGTGACAACGTATTTACCATCATTACATTTCTCATTTAAACCATTGTTAAATTTGGCATATTTTCTAAGCCTTCCTGCTGATAAAATAGTGTTGTGTTCTGAACTGTTCAGCGACAACATATTTCTAAATCTGGAGTCAGTGAGTTTGATTCAACAACCCACCGAACAGTACTTCAGTCATATCACAGTGTGTCCAGCTTAATGTGTGGGGAAAGCACAATTTGAGGCTGATTTTTACCACTTTGCTGAAACCCATCAGTGCGGGTATGGCACGGACTAATCCCAAAAACATAGGTGGCTAAAATGCCAGCTTAAGTCAACTCTACAAAGCAACTTCCAGTGCTCAGACTACAGGGAATTTACATGGAAGTGATTGAATCTAGGTAAGATGTGTCACTAAAGTTCACATTCAATTTCACCTACAGTCATGGCCGCTGAGGAAATATATATTCCCGAACGAACCACATCATTCACATAAATAAATGTCACTGAAAGTATTTGTGTAAGACCATATAATGGAGGTCTCTGCTAGCAATGAAATAAACTAGGGTCAAACATGAATTGTTGTGCTGACATGTCACCATCCCGTTTCACAGCGGTAACAGGTGACTGAGTACATTAAACAAAGAAACAAATCGTCAAATATAGTTTACCCTTCAATGTAACTACGGTCTGCGAGGTAATTGTTTAAAGCCTCTTGGCCAGCCTTCGATTTTAGGTCCCCGAAACCCATTTTGAGTGAGGATTTCTAAGCCAGAAAGAAAACGTGGTCCGTCTCGTGGAAAGACCGGAAGTAAAAGGCCGCTCACCTGGGTTACGGAGTAAATGAATATTTTTTTAGTAGGCATATTAGATAAAGATTACTGACAGCGAAGCACAAAAAAAAAGTCATAAAATTGAATCATTGAAATTTTACATTTCTCCAGAAAATGATAACATCCCTCCCGCAGATAATATGGTTAACGTGAAAAGATAGACTATACGGTGAAACGAAACTAGATGTTTGGGACATATTTATCTGGGCTCGAGACAAGATGTGTCATTTATTAGATCAGTGAATATATGCCCCACTCCTGCTTTTCTACGTCACACTCGGTACCATTAAGTAACTGGCTATTGTTTAGTAAAAATGTGTTTGTAATATATATTGCGTCAAGCTAGCTTTTTCAGGGAAAAACAAAAGTTCGGGGTTTGTGTGGACAGAGATATATGTTTTGTCCCACCCCTGGTGTCCAATAATCCGAGCAAATGAAGGAAAACCAATATGCTAAGTCAATGGGTTCCATAATTTCCCGTTTTTATCTATTTTTAATGCTTTTAATATTCTTATATTTTTTTTAATACTAGTCTTTTATTGGTAAGGCGTGGTGTGCCAACAAATAACGCCATGGTTCTCCTTCTCATACAGTGCTCACTGCTCACAAACAAAATGTAGGTATTTCCACTGTGAATTACGCTTTACATGTTTAAATCTATTTCCACGTTTGTCCCAAGGTAATTTTCTACTTCCAAGTATTTCCCGAGGTAATTTTCTACTTCCACGTATGTCCCTAGGTAATTTTCTACTTCCACGTATGTCCCGAGGTAATTTTCTACTTCCACGTATGTCCCTAGGTAATTTCTACTTCCACGTAGGTCCCGAGGTAATTTTCTACTTCCACGTATGTCCCAAGGTAATTTTCTACTTCCACGTATGTCCCAAGGTAATTTTCTACTTCCACGTATGTTCCAAGGTAATTTGTACATTGTTGTGATGACAATTTGGAATTTTATACTGGTTTTGTATGACCTTAAACAGGAGTTTGGCATAACACAAAAACGGTAGACTTTATTCGAAAAACAGGTGTCAAATGGATGCGAAGTTGAAGTATTTGTTGGGTTTTCTTTATAATTGAAAATACAGACAACTCAAAAGTCTGTTTCAAAATCACTATTATTCCACACGTGTGATATCTTTGGTCGGCAGGTCCACAAAACAAGTTGTGGTTGTTGTTTAACGCCGCACCCAGCAATAGTCCAGCTATACGACGGCGAGGTTCGTCAGAGCAGCTTCGTCCATTGAATGAAGTGGAGAAAATACACCTCCTGTGCGACCGTACGTACAACCGTACGATGTGTCTCAATAAAATAAATAAAATTAAAAAACCCAACTAATACAGGTTTCCTCATTAGGATCAAGGTTTATTCATGTTTTCACAACAGATTGGTGCACTGGTCGGTACAGAGATCAAAGTAGTTTGATTAGATTAGTTAAAACAACACGTGAACTCTACTGGAAGACATTACATTGTGACACCATCTAACACGCACTCTGCTCACAACCCAACAAACACACTGATATTGGGCCAACATTGTATATTAACTTCTATAACCTTATTTTGATATGTATTTAATAATACTTTTAAAAATTACAAAGAATCAAACATGTCAGCGACTTATTTTCTTATCGCTTGCTTTAGTGAAAGATATAGATGAACGCTTTCTTTAAAGTAATTGTAATTGTTTTCAAAAGAACCTATCCTCTTCTGCTGTTTTCATATCACTAGACTTGGTTTAGTTTGATCTAGACTTGCCTAGGCTTTTATTAAATATATATATATAATATATATATACACTCACACATTCACTCACACACACACACACACACACACACACACACACACACACACACACACACACACACACACGTACATACGTACATACTTATATGTGTGTGTGTGTGTGTGTGTGTGTGTGTGTGTGTGTGTGTGTGTGTGTGTGTGTGTGTGTATTCCAGTCATGGAGCAGGACTGTGAAAGGTATTGTTAAACTTATTATCGATTATAAATTGCCTGGTTAAATTTCATCTCTAAAAATAGTCGCAAACTGCCTCAAGGTAGGCTTGTTATATCTGCCTACCAGCAACACAACTGTTTAAGAGAGCATGACGTTAGCGTGCAACTAAAATGGGTAGGCCACGATTAATATCGATTTAGATACTGAAAAAAGTATTACCATCAATAATAATCAAATATTTTGTGTAATCATATACTGGCCGAATCTTAGGCCACAAAATAATCTGTAGTCAAGAGTACACTCTAACATTCTCCAGTTTATGTTGAGTTCGCTCTTAGGTTATAATATATATAAACGTTTCGTAACCATTTCTCGATCCGGATACCATTCCATATTTTTAACTCGTATCACAGGGCGCTGCCATATTTGTGTCATTGAACAGCCTTTCGCTAGCAGGGGTCGTTTCGAAGGTAGGAGCTCGAATGGTTATGCAAGCCTTTTCTAAATTAATTGTTGCATCAAATGGAATTTCATATAGGAACTAATCTGCCCCATTAAGTGTCGTCGAACCTGGCAGCATGTTCCCAATCTTACTGAAGATCATGCAAGTGCGCCACAGCGTATTACTGACCATGCCTTTTCAGTTTTACTTCAACAGTTGATCATGTTGATATAGGCTTGGGTTTGGGGACATTTGACAGTGCATATTATAATCCATGAATTGGCAAAATAGATTTGATGGGGCCGATTAGGGTTTTCTTCAATTTAAAGGGTTGTCTGCAACTTTTCAAACTTATGTCAAATTTAAATTGACAAAGGCTGAAAATCTGCTTTTTAAAACTGAAATTCACAATTTACTGAGTTGGCAATGACATGGACAGTGAACTACTATGAGTACTGTAACAGTCCGATTGTTACAGATTCCAGTTATTATCCCCCGGTCATATAATGCCCTGTGTGTCCGTCCATTCGTATTTCGTTTCCGGAGCGTGTTCATGATGTCAGTCACTGGATTGTCTGGTCTAGACTCGATTATTTACAGACCGCCGTCATATAGCTGGAATATTGCTGAGTGCGGCGTTAAACAACCAACCAACCAACCAACCAACCAACCAATCAATCGTTTCCGGAGCATAACTCGAAAACCGTGAAAGATTTTTCATTAAAACTTGGTTCATGTATTAACGAACGACTGAAGTGGGGCCTTTTGCTGTGGTAAAGGCCAGGGGGATTTGTCATCTTCTGATGACTCTTTTTGTGCATGATGTTAAGATAGAAAATGACAGAAAATTTTCCATATATATATCAGTGTATATATATATGAATGTGTAAAGTAGGGCTGTGATGGGTCTGGATGGCCTACGCGGGTACCCAGCCACCTATTACATGACCCTACCCAGGTACCCGCTGTAGGTCTCAAGTTGGGTACAAAATGTTCAATTGGAAATTGTTTTACCGGAGCCCTGGCAAAAAGTATTTAGATATAGTATAAAACGATTTGATCATGCATACACTGAAATTGACTGAAGTTTTGTGTTTACTCAAACATATATATGTTCGGGTAGCCCTGTGGGTACCTGGGTCATACTCAGGACCCATCCGCCCCGAGTACCCAAGTTACATGTCCCAGTTTAAAGCTACTAAAAGTCTCTGATGTTAAATTTGTTATACAATTGTCTGGTCACACTTCCGTTGAAAAAGTGATTATTCTGTAGCACTGGTTCCTATAGCTTCTGGGGGCGGTCGGGTAGCCTAGTGGTGAAAGCGTTCACTCGTCAAGCCGAAGACCCGGTTTCGATTCCCGACATGGGTACAATGTGTGAAGCCCATTTCTGGTGTCCCCTGCCGTGATATTGCTGGAATATTGCTAAAAGCGGCGTAAAGGCAAACTCACTCACTCTTATAGCTTGGATGGCCCAGTTGCTAAGGCGCCACAATTCACTGTGCAGAGTTGCGTCCCTTGGGCACGCCAGAAACCTATGATTATGGGTTCGAATCCCGGTACACCCTGATTATGTTTCTAGGTTTGTAAGCACCATACCCATGCTCGTTGGTTTCACCGAAGTGGTAAACGTCTGAGACCTGGATCACTTCAGGCTTTCCTCCCGCATTAAGCTGACACGCCGTGATATAACCGGAATACTGTTAAAAGCGGCATTAAACCCAACTCACTCACTCACTCACTCACTCACTCACTCACTCACTCACTCACTCACTCAAATAGCTTCTTGAAGATAATCATATTTTTCGAACCTTGTGTAACCCTCTTTCACCCATTATATTATTTTTCTTATCATCCTTATGCAAGAAAAATGTAATTGTTCTTCATCATGTTTATGTCATTATTAATATTATTTCAAGATTATCATTGGCATCATTTTCCATTTTCAGCGTAACCTGCCAACTGACCAGGATGCTGCTTCTGACGCCCGTCAGGAGGGCGTTGTCGGCTCACAGCCTGCTGAAGACTGCGTGTAAGTAACAGCTGATTGTATATTTCATGTCAGTGTTGCACTGAATGAACTTGGACAGACAGACCGAATTTATTTTGTATTCAAGCCTCTGTCCCATAATACATATTACTGTGATTTCGAAAACATCGAGCATACTTTGTATAGAAGCAGCTTTCGTGGATTTGTACAGAAACTTATTACAACAATTTAATTAAAACCATAGTATTTTCAGAGATGTGGGATTTTCTTATCTTTTGTACCTGACTTATGAGCAATGATGAGACGTCCAAGACCCATCTCTATTGCCATGATATCAATATGAGTATGAGACATTATATGGATGAAAGATGGAACGTGGAACGTGGAGTGTTTTCATATTCAAATATTCAACTTGCAATCTGCCCAGTGGTCTAAGGCACCACAATTTCTGCAGAGTTGTAAAATGTTAAAATGCGGTCCTTTTCAAATTTAAAAGCACAAGGCCCAACCCTAGAATTATCCCTAAAAGTGGTAAACATCTGAAACCTGGATCAGTACATGCTTTTCTCACAGTAAGCTGACACACTGTGATATAACTAGACTACGGATCAAAGCGCCGTTAAACCCAACTCACTCTCTATGAGCATGAAGGAATGAATTGTTAAGTTTATGCTCATATGTGGTAATTGGCATGTTCAGCATTTACAGTTTTTCATTTCTCTTGTTTCAGTGAGAGCCAACTCGACAGGTGCCCCAGAGAAAATAGAAGTATTTGTTGATGACAAGAGTGTGCTTGTAGAACCAGGCATCACAGTGCTACAGGTAACGTGGGATATGGCAGTTTGTTTGTAAATATGGGAGGTGGGGTATTCTTGTTGTTAAAGTGTTGGCTCATCACGCCAAAGACCCGGGTTCAATTACCCAAATGGGTACAATGTGTGAAGTCCATTTTCTGGTGTACCCCACCATGATATTGTGGAAATATTGCTTGGAGTGGCGAAAGACCTCACTCACTCACTCACTCACTCACTCACTCACTCACTCACTCACTCACTCACTCACTCACTCACTCACTCACTCACTCACTCACTCACTCACTCACTCACTCTTTTGTGAGTGGAAGAAGCGACATCTAGGAATTACATGTACTCAACCTTTTCATGACATATAACCTAACAGTAATCCAACACATGATTATATATCATGGGAATGTGTTGCCATGCCAACTGTAAGGTACCACAATTTATTTTACAGAGTTGTGTCCCTTTTTGCATGGCAGGATCCTCTGATCAAGGCTGTGAATGGCAGGTTATGATCCTTTGTTTACCAGCACCATACCAGTACCTGTTGGTGTCATCAAAAGCTTTAACATCTTCGACCTGCATCACGTTAGGGTTTCCACATCATACAATTTAAGGTTATGTCAGAGAAATGTTGAAACCAACTCACTCCAAATAAAATCCCAGGCTTGTGTGAAGTGAAGTCTCATTTCAAGTTGGCTGTTGCAGGCCTGTGCAGAAGGTGGTGTGGAGATTCCCCGGTTCTGCTACCATGACCGCCTCTCCATCGCTGGGAACTGCAGGATGTGTCTAGTAGAGGTGGAAAAGTCTCCCAAGGTACTAAATAATGCTTATTACTTCTTTGTTTGCTTCAGTGTCGGAAGTTAGCCATGAATATCAAGGGAGTAGGTAGGTGGATGTTGGGTGGTTCTGTGCGTAGCACACACATCTCACACATTTAGTGAAGTGTATGCTACTTAACTTTTGATAGAGATATTTTATCTTTCCATGATATGCACAAGTAATTCTGTAATGTCAGTGTGTATTTAAATAGAATATCATGTCTGACTATCCCTATCAAAAGTTGAATAGTATCTTTTATTACCACTAACTAGGTGTGTTCGAGTGACGTTGAGACCCGTGTAGATCCAGGGTAGAATAGGTCTTCAGCAACCCATGATTGCTGTAAAAGGCGACTTACGGGATCGGGTGGTCAGACTCGCTGACTTGGTTGATGTATGCCATTGTATCCCAATTACATGTATCGATGCTCATGATGTCAGTCACTGGATTGTCTGGTCCATACTCGATTATTATAGACCGCCATCATACAGCTGGATTATTGCTGAGCGCGGTGTTAAACAACAAACAAAATAGTATACTCCTGAAAAAAGGTTTAACACCCCTCCCCTTTTGTTTTCGTATGTTCATAGCTTTCATATTTCCATGCTCCTTTTGGAAAAGTATGACATTGACCTCATTTTGATATATACTACTCAACTTTTGCTGAGGACCACACCTTTGACTAAAGACGACTATTTTTGGTCATCTGTGTAGAGTAGCATATATATATATATATCTAAGATAGTGGAAGGGGTGGTCGGGTAGCCTAGTGGTTAAAGCGTTTGCTTGTTGCGCCGAAGACCCAGGTTCGATTCCCGACATGGGTACAATGTGAAGCCCATTTCTGGTGTCCCCCCGCCGTGTTATTGCTGGAATATTGCTAAAAGCAGCATAAAACCAAACTCACTCACTCACTAAGATAGTGGAACGTTGCAAGGTAAGGGGTTGGATTCATATTCTGCAGATTATGTGTGTTGTGGAAGATAATAATAAGAGGGTGAATTACCCATGGCTATTTGTCACGTGCTGTGGGGATTCAGGTGCTATCAGGTCACCAGTGCCCTAGAGTCAGAGAGCCTATTTCATATATGTTTGGAATCTCTCGTTCAGTCAGACTTAGATGTGTTTGTCTGATTCTTGAAAACATTCCAAGATAAATCTGTGGAACTCTGGGAGCTTGGTGGAGAAATGATCGAGTTCTTCGTTCCCCCTTGGACAATCCCCAGATTATGGGTATTTAGTACGTAGAAATTCCTGGAAAGAGAGATTGTGTTTGAGTGATGTTGAGACCTATGAAGATCCAGGGTAGAATAGGTCTTCAGCAACCCCTGCTTGCCGTAAAAGGCGACGAACAGGATCGGGTGGTCAGACTCGCTGACTTGGTTGATGCATGTCATCCTATCCCAATTGCGTGGATTGATGCTCATGATGTCAGTCACTGGATTGTCTGGTCCATACTCGATTATTTACAGATCGCCGTCATATAGCTGGAATATCGCTGAGTGCGGCATTAAACAACATACAAAGAAAAGAGTGATGTGATTCTGTTGTGTGTTTGTAGCCGATTGCCTCGTGTGCGATGCCAGTGATGAAAGGGATGAAGATCAAGACCGACTCACCTGTCACCAGGAAGGCAAGGTAAGCAGCCTGCTGCAGACATAATGCAGCGCTAATAGTTGGTAAAGTACCTAAATAACCCACAGCTGTTCTAGAGCTCTGATTCACTAAGAATGTCAGCATCTGGATTTACTTGATTTCACTGTCTGTTTTTCTTCAGCAACCCATGCTTGCCGTAAAAGGCGACTAACGGGATCGGGTGGTCAAGCTTGCTGACTTGGTTGATACATGCCATCGATCCCAATTGCTTGGGTCGATGCTCATGATGTCAATCACAGGATTGTCTGGTCCAGACTGGATTATTTAACAGACCGCCGTCATATAGCTGGAATATTGCTGAGTGCGGCGTTAAACAACAAACAAACAAACAAACAAACACTGTCTGTTTTAGTTGTATCTCTGTGTTTGATTTATCAGCTGTGTTTTGTTTGATACTCCAGGGAAGGTGTGATGGAGTTTCTACTGGTGAACCATCCCCTTGACTGTCCCATCTGTGATCAGGGAGGAGAGTGTGATCTACAAGTGAGTACAACATGCTCATATAGTCCACAGTTTTACTCTAGACTGTAAAAAGACTGCTTCTGTATTCTAGGGGATAGATGGAAGGTCCAGGGTTCAATCCCGGGCTGCGTCATACCAAAAGACGTTAATGGATGGTACTTGTTGTTACCCTGTCTGGCGCTCGGCATTAACATGATTAAGGGGCTAAAACAAGGACTGGTCGGATTGGAGTCAGTATACTGTGTCTGAGTGGGGTATTCATGTTAAACTGCGGCATGGTATCTCAGTGAGCTAGCACTATAAATCGGCATCAGTTCGGACTAGTACAAGCACACACACACACACACACACACACACACACACACACACACACACACACACACACACACACACACACACACACACACACACACACACACACACACACACACACACACACGTGCATCCACATCGGTATATAAGTGCAATAATCTTGGACGCGACGTTCAACCCCATTTCACCTCACCACCTCACCTAGGGGATAGAAAGTCTGCTAGGAGAGGTTTTTGATCCCCTGCTACGTCATACAAAAAGACATTAAAAGATGGTACTTGCTGTTACCCTGCCTGGCATAAAGGGGTCAAAACAAGGATTGGTCTGCTTGGGGTCAGTGAACTTGGGAGTCAAAAGTATCATGTTAATCTGTGGCATGATATCTTAATGGGTTTGCACTGTAAAACTGGCATGAGCCTGGACCAGTGCAAGCAGACACATACACGTGAACGCACATTGCTGTTTAAGGGCAATAAGTGTGAACACAAAGCCTTTTAAACCATGCCTTAACTGTGACATTGCCAGTGTATACACAACCGCTAGTAAAGCGGAGTGAGTGAAAGCGTTGGAGAACTATGTACTGCTCCCCAAGCCAACAGCCTTTTAGAACTACGTACTGCTCCCCAAGCCTACAGCCTTGTAGAACTACGTACTGCTCCCCAAGCCTACAGTCTTGTAGAACTACGTATTGCTCCCCAAACCTACAGCCTTGTAGAACTACGTATTGCTCCCCAAGCCTACAGCCTTGTAGAACTACGTACTGCTCCCCAAGCCTACAGCCTTGTAGAACTACGTATTGCTCCCCAAGCCTACAGCCTTGTAGAACTACGTACTGCTCCCCAAGCCTACAGCCTTGTAGAACTACGTATTGCTTCCTAAGCCTACAGCCTTGTAGAACGACGTATTGATTCCCAAGCCTACAGCCTTGTAAAACTACGTACTGCTTCCCAAGCCTACAGCCTTGTAGAACTATGTATTGCTCCCCAAGCCTACAGCCTTGTAGAACTACGTATTGCTCCCCAAGCCTACAGCCTTGTAGAACTACGTACTGCTTCCCAAACCTACAGCCTTGTAGAACTACGTATTGCTTCCTAAGCCTACAGCCTTGTAGAACTACGTATTGCTCCCCAAGTCTACAGCCTTGTAGAACTACGTATTGCTCCCCAAGCCTACAGCCTTGTAGAAGCTGTAAACAAGTTGTATTGTTAAACTATTGAAATGATATTCAGTTGATGATTGTCACTCATGATGTTATTTAGATTTATGATTCATACAATAAGAAATTGAGAGTTGGGACAGGAATCTCGAGTTCAGCCATACTGAGGTGTTTTTCCGAACCTTGACAACATTCCAAGAAAAAACTTGAGAAGCTCTGGGAGCTCGGTGGAGAGGAGCCCGAGCTCTTTGTCCCTCCTTGGACAGTTGCCAGTATTTAACCTAAACGGCTGAGTCATGTTTTATGCCTCACATAGTATATATACTGCTCAACCTTTGATAGGGATAGTCATGTCATTCAGTTTCAAGATCCCTATCAAAAGTGAAGAAGTATATGTTAGTGTTACTTTGTTTCAGCAGGAATGTTTTATTCATCATGCTACTGACAATGGCTAAGATTTGTTGTACCAGGGACCTGAAGTTATCTGTTTTTGAATGTTTATTTTCACTGGTGTATGTAATGTGGCATGTATGGTTTCCTCCAGGACCAGTCGATGGCCTTCGGGAGTGACAGAAGCAGATTCACAGATACTCATTTCACTGGCAAGAGGTGAGACTTGTACCTGTGATTAATGTTACAATCATTTCACTAGCAAGAGGTGAGACTTGCACCTGTGATTAATGTTACAATCATTTCACTGGCAAGAGGTGAGACTTGTACCTGTGATTAATGTTACAATCATTTCACTGGTAAGAGGTGAGACTTGTACCTGTGATTAATATTGCAATCATTCAGAATTCATGCATGGTTTAGTCGATAGAGCGTTTGTCTGGACACTAGAAGGGTGGTGGTTCCCTGCCTTGGCCACCTCATACTAAAAGAGGGGCGGTCGGGTAGCTGGGTAGTGGTTAAAGCGTTCGCTTGTCACGCTGATGACCCAGGTTCGATTCCCGACATGGGTACAATGTGTAAAGTCCATTCCTGGTGTCCCCCACCGTGATATTGCTGGAATATTGCTAAAAGCGGCGTAAAACCATACTCACTCACTCACTCATACTAAAAGATGTTTTAAGCTGGTACTTGTTGTTACTCTGCCTGGCATGCAGCATTAAGGGGATACAACAAGGACTTGTTGGTCTGAAGTCAGTATATTGTGTCTTAGTGGGTTGTCCATTTTAGACTATGGCATGGTATCTCATTGGGCTAGCACTGTAAAACCACCATAGGTCCGGACTGTGATCATTGCTATTTGAACATGATGTTAGACCCCATTCTGGGTGAAAACTGGTCCCCAGCAACCTATGCTGACAGTAGGAAGTGACAAAATGGGTTGGGTGGTCAGGCTGTGTGGCTTCGTTGAGCACATGTCACCATACCCCAACTGTGTGGTACATTGTGCACAATATCAGCCACTGGATTGTCTGGTCCTGACTTGATTATTTACAGCTTGATTTATAGCTTGAATAACGTTGGATTAGACAACAAACAAACAACAAGCTTGTCACAAGTAAGTTTATTGCAGTAAGTCTCCTGCTCTGTTAACATGTGACAGGTGTCTATTTTGTTGAAATTCCAGAGCTGTTGAAGACAAGAATGTTGGCCCCTTGGTGAAGACGATCATGACCAGGTGTATTCATTGTACACGGTGTATCAGGTGAGTAGCTCTACTCCTCTACTGAAAGGCAACTATGCTTGTTGTAAGAGGCGACTAACGGGATCAAGTGATCAGGCTCGGTGACTTGGTTGATGCATGTCATTGATCCCAATTGCATGGATCGATGCTCATGATATTAATCACTGGATTGTTTGGTCCAGACTCGATTATTTACAGATTTACAGCTGGAATATTGCTGAGTACGGCTTTAAACAACAAACCAACCAACCAACTCCTCCACTGTACCTCTCTGTGCCCAATCAAAATGAAAGTTCTTTAGCCAATCAGCTGTTAGGTTTTTAATACAATCTGGCTTCATTTTTTGCCGCCACGATTAGTAAATTTTTATTTGTTCAAATGAACATCCACACATAACAGAAATTATCCTTCAATGGTACTCCCTCTTCATGGAACGATTTCATTCTGTTTTACAATCTGCACCAGGTGCAACCAAGTGAATTTATCAGGCTGCACCATTTTATTCTGAACCGGTGACGTAAGTCACTGTGACCTCTCTGACGTTCCATGAAACATCAAAAGATTGTGTACATCGCGTGTTCCTGGTTACACATGAGAACAGACTTGTTGTTTTTAACTTCCGGTAATTGATGTTAACCTGATACACACGATAGGAGTAGACTATATTTACGGGAAAGTTATTCAAATAAAACTGCTGCCATGCACTTGTTGTGGGAAATGTTACCTGCACTGGGTGCAACCTGACAATAAAAGTTACCAACCCGTGAAGATCCGGGATAGAATAGGTCTTAAGCAACCCATGCTTGCCGTAAAAGGTGACTATGCTTGTTGTTAGAGGCGACTATTGGGATCGGGTGGTCAGGCTCGCTGACTTGGTTGATGCATGTCATCGTATCCCAATTGCATGGATCAATGCTCATGATGTCAATCACTGGAATGTCTTGTCCAGACTCGATTATTTACAGACTGCCATCATATAGCTTGAATATTGCTGAGTGTGACGTTAAACAAACAAACAAACAAATAAAAGTTACCTGCACTAGCAATATTTTACTTGCACTGAGAGAATGTATGAAATATCCACAACAATATGATAGAGATGCCATACTTTATTCTTTCAGAACTTAACGTTTTAGTTTGTTTTTGAGATGCAGAAATCAGACTGGTTTGAATGCTTCGGTTACTTGTACCAAGAATTTCGAAACCTCAGTGCTAGTTGGCTGAATAGAAAGTTAACCTGATCTATAACATGTTAACAGTATAATACACACGAAAGAATTGTTCATAAGTAAATTCCAGTCTCCTTACTGTTTACAGTTCCTGTTTAAATTGTGGCGTTTTATCAGTGAATTGCTTGTCGTAAGATTAGACTAATAAAGACCAGACTGAGTTACTGCACCCAGAGGGGGCACGGGTGGCCTAGTCGTCTAAGGCGCCGCGATTCGCTGTGCAGAGTTGCGTCCCTTGGGCACGCCAGAAACCTATGATTGTGGGTTCGAATCCCGGTTCGCCCCGATTATGTTTCTAGGTTTGTCAGCACCATACCCGTGCTCGTGGGTTTCACCGAAGTGTTTAACGTCTGAGACCTGCATCACTTCGGGCTTTTCTCCCACATTAAGCTGACACGCCGCGATATAACTGGAATAATGTTAAAAGCGGCGTTAAACCTAACTCACTCACTCACTACTTCACCCAGATGACATGGATCGTTGCTCATGTTTGCAGTTCTAGTTTGCCTCATCCGGACTCTGTTATTTACAGGCCTACGTGTTATAGCTGAAATATTTCTGACTGCAGCATTAAAACATTCAATCACTCAGCTGTAAAGATTGAACGCTGAATGCAGATGATTATCCCTCCAGGTTTGCTAGTGAGGTGGCTGGTGTTGATGACCTTGGCACCACAGGCCGGGGAAACGACATGCAGGTCGGTACATACGTCGAGAAGATGTTCAAGTCGGAATTGTCAGGCAATGTTATTGACCTGTGTCCTGTTGGAGCTCTCACGTCCAAGCCCTACGCCTTCACAGCCAGACCCTGGGAGACCAAGTAAGTAAATGGTGCCAGGTGGCACAGCCAGACCCTAGGAGACCATGTAAGTGTGAGTGGTGCACAACCAGACCCTAGTAGACCAAGTAAGTGTGAGTGGTGCACAGCAAGACCCTAGGAGACCATGTAAGTGTGAGTGGTGCACAGTCAGACTCTAGGAGACCATGTAGGTGTGAGTGGTACACAGCCAGATCCTAGGAGACCATGTAAGTGTGAGTGGTGCACAGCAAGACCCTAGGAGACCATGTAAGTGTGAGTGATGCACAGCCAGATCCTAGGAGACCATGTAAGTGTGAGTGGTGCACAGCCAGACCCTAGTAGACCAAGTAAGTGTGAGTGATGCACAGCCAGATCCTAGTAGACCATGTAAGTGTGAGTGGTGCACAGCAAGACCCTAGGAGACCATGTAAGTGTGAGTGATGCACAGCCAGATCCTAGGAGCCCATGTAAGTGTGAGTGATGCACAGCCAGACCCTAGTAGACCAAGTAAGTGTGAGTGATGCACAGCCAGATCCTAGTAGACCAAGTAAGTGTGAGTGGTGCACAGCCAGACCCTAGTAGACCATGTAAGTGTGAGTGATGCACAGCCAGATCCTAGTAGACCAAGTAAGTGTGAGTGATGCACAGCCAGACCCTAGGAGACCATGTAAGTGTGAGTGGTACACAGCCAGACCCTAGGAGACCATGTAAGTGTGAGTGATGCACAGCACGATCCTAGGAGACAAAGTAAGTGTGAGTTGTGCACAGCCAGACCCTAGGAGACAAAGTAAGTGTGAGTGGTGCACAACCAGACCCTAATAGACCAAGTAAGTGTGAGTGGTGCACAGCCAGATCCTAGGAGACCATGTAAGTGTGAGTGGTGCACAGCCAGATCCTAGGAGACCATGTAAGTGTGAGTGATGCACAACCAGATCCTAGTAGACCATGTAAGTGTGAGTGGTGCACAGCCAGACCCTAGGAGACCATGTTAGTGTGAGTCGTGCACAGCCAGATCCTAGGAGACCATGTAAGTGTGAGTGATGCACAGCCAGACCCTAGGAGACCATGTTAGTGTGAGTGATGCACAGCAAGACCCTAGTAGACCATGTAAGTGTGAGTGGTGCACAGCAAGACCCTAGTAGACCATGTAAGTGTGAGTCGTGCACAGCCAGACCCTAGGAGACCATGTAAGTGTGAGTGATGCACAGCCAGACCCTAGGAGACCTGTAAGTGTGAGTGATGCACAGCACGATCCTAGTAGACCATGTAAGTGTGAGTGATGCACAGCCAGACCCTAGGAGACCATGTAAGTGTGAGTGATGCACAGCCAGACCCTAGGGGACCATGTAAGTGTGAGTCGTGCACAGCCAGATCCTAGGAGACCATGTAAGTGTGAGTCGTGCACAGCCAGACCCTAGGAGACCATGTAAGTGTGAGTGGTGCACAGCAAGACCCTAGGAGACCACGTAAGTGTGAGTGGTGCACAGCCAGATCCTAGGAGACCATGAAAGTGTGAGTGATGCACAGCCAGACCCTAGTAGACCATGTAAGTGTGAGTGGTACACAGCCAGACCCTAGTAGACCAAGTAAGTGTGAGTGATGCACAGCCAGATCCTAGGAGACCATGTAAGTGTGAGTGATGCACAGCCAGACCCTAGTAGACCAAGTAAGTGTGAGTGATGCACAGCCAGACCCTAGTAGACCAAGTAAGTGTGAGTGATGCACAGCCAGACCCTAGTAGACCAAGTAAGTGTGAGTGGTGCACAGCAAGACCGTAGGAGACCATGTAAGTGTGAGTGATGCACAGCCAGACCCTAGGAGACCATGTAAGTGTGAGTGGTGCACAGCAAGACCCTAGGAGACCACGTAAGTGTGAGTGGTGCACAGCCAGATCCTAGGAGACCATGAAAGTGTGAGTGATGCACAGCCAGACCCTAGTAGACCATGTAAGTGTGAGTGGTACACAGCCAGACCCTAGTAGACCATGTAAGTGTGAGTGGTGCACAGCAAGACCCTAGGAGACCATGTAAGTGTGAGTGGTTACACAGCCAGACCCTAGTAGACCATGTAAGTATCGTGACTTGAACAAGTTATGCATTTATACTATATACAAAAAACTGTTGTTGAAGGAGAGTTCAATAGCCAGCAATATATCGCAGATTATAATTTTAAGACTAGTCTTAGAACAATAAAGTGATCAGATTATGACAGACAACACATTATAAAAACAGGCTGTAGATCAACGACTAAAGTTAGGCCACCATACCAGGGACCATGGGGACATACAGTACCTTTGCTACCTGCATTGTTCCCCAGCAGCATTTAAACAATCCCTTTAGTCATTGGCAATTGTTGACAAGATTAGCCATAAGGTAAAATAAACAAAATTTCTCCGGTTTAAACAGTGGTAGGTAAAATACTTTGAATAAAGTGGTCGAATGTAAGGATAAAAAATGAGGGGTCTACAGGAATCTCGTTCAGTCAGATTAAGTTGTTTTGTATGCCTTGTTAAAATGACAGGAATCTCTCGTTCAGTCAGACTAAGATGTGTTGTTTTGTATGCCTTGTTAAAATGAAAGGAATCTCTCGTTCAGTCAGACTAAGGTGTGTTTGTCTGATCCTTGAAAACATTCCGAGATAAATCTGAGGAACTCTGGGAGCTCGGTGGAGAAATGGCCGAGTTCTTCGTTCCCCCTTGGACATTTACTGCAGCACATTATGAAGTAGGCGCATATGTTGAGACACGAGACATTAGGTTTGTAGTGGATCAGTACTTCAATAGTTCAGCTGTCAAGGTTTGTGAAGAGTTTATGCTGATATGTTTTTGTTATCTGTTTGCCATGTTTGCATGAGTACGTTCTTTGTGTTTTTCAGAAAGGTTGAGAGTATAGATGTGATGGATGGTTTGGGAAGCAACATCGTTGTCACCATGAGGACCAATGAAGTGATGAGAATCGTCCCGCGCATGAATGAGGTCAGTTGTTGCCTTGGTAACATGACATTCAATGACCTGTGGCAAACGGGACTAATAGGTACCCGCTACTGTGTGCTTTGGAATAATACATGTTGAAGTGATTAGGAGAGTGATTAAGGTAAATAAACAATGGGATTTACCAGGACCTGCGCAGAGGCCGATATTTTCCAAGTCAGTGAAAATGGCCAAATTGAAATAAAAAAAATGGCCTTCAGTAATGTTATGGATTTGAAGTACCGTAATCGACGTAATAAGCACCTAGGGCGCTCTCAAAATTAGAAATAGGGGGCTCTTATTAGAATATTATTTTGGTGAAAAAACAGAGTTGAAAGATACATTTCGTGGTTTATGCTGACAGCCTGAAATGTTTATGTACGACAGATATATTTTTCTGGAATTGAATTGCCCATAATTAAGGGTGCATATAACACACGAGTGCGTATTGTACGCAAATTAATAAGTCTTGTGAACATTGATCAATCGGAAGGGGTGCTAATTGGGATTGTTCACTAGCCAATATATTGGCAAATATCGCCGTGGGCGCTTATTAGAGCGGGGCACTTATTACGTCGGATACGGTAATAAGAAATGTAATAGCTTCAGAGAGGTGACTTGTTCGAGCAATGTAACAATTTGTTTCCTTTATTGCCCGCCAAGGGCACTTAGTTTGGAATCCTAGATAACCCCTGAAGAGGTATCTCCACAGCCGTCATGGGCTATTCATTTATATGTTACAGGAAATCAATGAAGAATGGATCTCCGATAAGACGAGGTTTGCGTATGACGGCCTGAAGCGCCAGCGCTTGACTTCACCATTTGTGAAGAACAGTCAGGGAAATCTGGTGGCCACAGACTGGGAGAATGCTTTCATCAGGGTGGCACAGAAGGTAGAACTGTTGTTAGACTGGAAACACCTTTTCTGATTTCAGGGTAGAAGTTGTCACCAGTAACTAGGGCTGGGACGATACACCAACTGTGAGATCCGATACTCACACGTGCCTTACTCACGATCCTTTATGTATCACGATACTCTTTTCTGCGATGCGTAAGCCATCTTTTTCATAGAGAGGATGGCCAAATACCTGGCATACTGATGATTTACAGTTGGCAGAGTGAAGTATGGCACAACAAATGAAACTATGTATGTTTTACCTATTAACTTGCACTACTGATTAGTGGAACAGTTATTAAAGCAATCATTTAAGGTCAGATTGATACTTGTATCGAGAAATAAAAAATCGTGATCCACCGATGCATCGGTGTATCGTCCCACCACTACCAGTGCCATGTTTGCCGTGAGAGTGGATCAGTTGGTCGTGTTGTCAGGATAATTTATAGGCTGCCTGATATTGCAGGAATCATTCAGACTACGAATTCATACACTCACTCAGTCCAAATAGGTCCACAACATCCTGTTTGTACTGTCATTACAGCTGACATATGTGGTGAGTTGCGGTCACGATGTTTGACCTGGCTCTTGGATCATTATTCAAACATATAGTAAGTTCCTGAACTATTATAGTTCAAGCTTGAGGTCCTGGATCGGCCTGATTGTTTCTAGGTTTGTCAGCACCATACCCAACCTTGCCAGTTTCACCCAACTGGTAAACATCTAAATACCTTTATCATTTGGTGAACTGCCTCCGTGGTCTAGTGGAAGAGCGTCTGCCCGGAGAGCGGAAGGTCCCGGGTTTAATCCCGGCTGCGTCATACTAAAAGACTTTCCTCCCTCATGAAGCTGATATGCCATGATATAGCTGGAATACTGTTCAAAGGGCATTACACCCACGTCGCTCACTCACTGTAGTCACTGGATACTCACTTCGTGGTGGCGTGGATAGAACATCTGCCTGGAGGTGGTTTGAACCCCAAACTCATCATACCAATAGACAATTAAAGACGGTAACTGTTACGCTCAGCGTTAAGGGTGTAAAGCAGAGACAGGTTGACTCGGTGTCAATATGGGGGTATCCATGTTAAACTGTGGCATGTCTCCGTAGGCTTGCACTGTAAAACCGACATGAGTCCTGGACAAGTACAAACAGGCACATACATATGCATGCCCATCGCTATATTTGTTTAATAATCCTGAATGTGACATTAAGCCTCAATTCACCTCACCTCTACATTTAACCCAATGATCTGCTCCCCAGCTCCGAGAAGTGAGTGGAGACCAGGTGGCAGCTGTAGCCGGGGGTCAGGTGGATGCTGAGGCCCTCATCAGTCTCAAGGACCTCCTCAACAGACTGGGCAGCGAGGGACTCTGTACAGAGGAGATCTTCCCCATGGATGGAGCTGGGTGAGTTGGGGATTGTGGTAATAGCTTGGTGTACAACCCTAGTGACTATTGACTGACGATTGGTGCCCCCTGTGGTATATGGCTGGAATATTGCTAGGGTGAAGTACAAAATTGCCTACGTTGACTGTCTGACTGTTAGTGGCCCCTGTGGTATATGGCTGGAAATTGAATATTGATGAGGGTGATGTACGATATTGCCCGTGTTGACTGACTGACTCTTAGTGGCCCCCTTGTGTTATATGGCTGGAATATTGCTGAGGCCGATGTACAGTATTGCCCATGTTGACTGTCTGACTGTTAGTGGCCCCCTGTGGTATATGGCTGGAATATTGCTAGGGTGAAGTACAAAATTGCCTATGTTGACTGTCTGACTGTTAGTGGCCGCCTGTGGTATATGGCTGGAATATTGCTAGGGTGAAGTACAAAATTGCCTACGTTGACTGTCTGACTGTTAGTGGCCCCTGTGGTATATGGCTGGAAATTGAATATTGATGAGGGTGATGTACGATATTGCCCGTGTTGACTGACTGACTCTTAGTGGCCCCCTTGTGTTATATGGCTGGAATATTGCTGAGGCCGATGTACAGTATTGCCCATGTTGACTGTCTGACTGTTAGTGGCCCCCTGTGGTATATGGCTGGAATATTGCTAGGGTGGTGTATAGTATTGCCCATGTTGACTGTCTGACTGTTAGTGGCCCCCTGTGGTATATGGCTGGAATATTGCTAGGGTGGTGTACCGTATTGCCCGTATGACTGTCTGACTGTTAATGCCCTGTGGTATATGGCTGGAATATTGCTGAGGGTGGTGTACAGTATTGCCCATGTTGACTGTCTGACTGTTAGTGCCGTCTGTGGTATATGGCTGGAATATTGCTGAGGGTGATGTACAGTATTGCCCATGTTGACTGTCTGACTGTTAGTGCCCCCCTGTGGTATATGGCTGGATTATTGCTGAGGGTGATGTACAGTATTGCCCATGTTGACTGTCTGACTGTTAGTGCCCCCCTGTGGTATATGGCTGGAATATTGCTGAGGGTGGTGTACAGTATTGCCCATGTTGACTGTCTGACTGTTAGTGCCCCCCTGTGGTATATGGCTGGAATATTGCTGAGGGTGGTGTACAGTATTGCCCATGTTGACTGTCTGACTGTTAGTGCCCCCCTGTGGTATATGGCTGGAATATTGCTGAGGGCGGTGTACAGTAATGCCCATGTTGACTGTCTGACTGTTAGTGCCCCCCTGTGGTATATGGCTGGAATATTGCTGAGGGTGGTGTACAGTATTGCCCATGTTGACTGTCTGACTGTTAGTGCCCCCCTGTGGTATATGGCTGGAATATTGCTGAGGGCGGTGTACAGTAATGCCCATGTTGACTGTCTGACTGTTAGTGCCCCCCTGTGGTATATGGCTGGAATATTGCTGAGGGTGATGTACAGTATTGCCTATGTTGACTGTCTGACTGTTAGTGCCCCCCTGTGGTATATGGCTGGAATATTGCTGAGGGTGGTGTACAGTATTGCCCATGTTGACTGTCTGACTGTTAGTGCCCCCCTGTGGTATATGGCTCGAATATTGCTGAGGGTGATGTAGAGTATTGCCTATGTTGACTGTCTGACCCATTGTGCCCCCCTGTGGTATATGGCTGGAATATTGCTGAGGGTGGTGTACAGTATTGGCCGTGTTGACCGACTGACTCTTAGTGGCCCCCTGTGGTATATGGCTGGAATATTGCTGAGGGTGGTGTACAGTATTGCCTATGTTGACTGTCTGACTGTTAGTGCCCCCCTGTGGTATATGGCTGGAATATTGCTGAGGGTGGTGTACAGTATTGCCCGTGTTGACTGTCTGACCCATTGTGCCCCCCTGTGGTATATGGCTGGAATATTGCTAAGGGCGATGTACAGTATTGCCCATGTTGACTGTCTGACTGTTGTTTCAGCACGGACCTGCGGTCCAACTACCTTCTCAACACGGGCATCGCTGGCGTAGAGGAGGCCGATCTTGTATTGCTGGTCGGGACCAACCCCCGCTACGAGGCGCCCATCTTCAACGCCAGGATCAGGAAGAGGTGAGGCATGTGTACACTGAGTGCAGATCTTACGACCAGCAAAGCTGCTAGGGAGCAATTCAAACCTGGAATCCCCACAGGGGGAGTTTCTAAATGCCTACCAAAGACCTCATAACAGCCAATATGTTACACCACAAGATGCAGAAAGACTATTGGGTTGGTAGAAACAAAAGATTGGCCTCAGACAGAGAGGTGTTTCTCAAATGATGGTCAGGTCAACATGGTGACAGCACTGGATTCCGTCTGTGTTAAAGATTGTCTGCAACAACTTCAGCAGAACCTGCCTGCAGGTTAACTTACTGGATCAGATGGTCAGGCTCGGTGACTTGGTTGATTGTGTGGCATGGTACACTGACAGTGTGGATTGTTCACAATATCAATCACTTGATTATTTTTTTAACATGCCACTAATGTTCCCGGAATATTGCTGAGTGCTGCGTTAAACAACAAATAAACATGCACTCAAGCACAGACACAATTTAGACATTGGTAGTTCATGATAGATGATACCTTTCAGTATTCTTTATAAGTTATCGACTCGTGAAGATCTGGGGTAGAATAGGTCTTTAGCAACCCGTACTTGCTGTAGAAGGCGACTATGCTTGTCGTAAGAGCTGACTAATGGGATTGGGTGGTCAGGCTCGCTGACTTAGTTGTTGCATGTCATCGATCCCAATTGCGTGGATCGATGCTCATGATATTAATCACTGGATTTTCTGGTCCAGACTCGATTATTTACAGACCGCCGTCATACAGCTGGAATATTGCTGAGTGCGACGTTAAACAACAAACAAACAAAAACAACAACATTATTAATCAGCATCAGTCCGGTCTAGTACAAGCAGCCACACACATACACGCACATGCACGTCACTTTTTAAGTACAATAATCTTGGACGCAACGTTAAACCCCATTTCACCTCACCTTTCCTCGTGTTCTGATAGTGTTTATGTTGCAGCTGGATCCACAATGACCTGCGGGTCGCGATGGTGGGGACGCCAGTGGATCTGACGTATGAGTATGATGTGAGTCACACCTACCATGCTATAACAATACTCAGAGCTACAGATAAGCAGCGTATTTCCATAAAATACCCCCAAAATATTCAAAACCCAATTGCTTTCAATTAACTTGCGTATAGAAAGGCATGCATTAAAGGAAAAACTCAAATGTATATAAACAGCATGCGAAAATCCCTAATGAAGCTTTTTCATGTGTACAAAGGATCTAACACAATTACGAGCTAATTTACTTTCCGAATCCAGCCTATTTATTTAGGACAGTTATCATGGTTATGTTCATCTAAAACATTATTTCATTTGTTTTAAATCTTAAAATGTTCACTCTTTTGGGGAAATACCCAATAGAGTGATGAATAGATGAGTGAAAAAATATTGGTTACCCATAAATAATGTAATAACCCACATCAAATAGAAACCCTAGAGTAAACACTCAGTTGCTCAAAAAGTTATCTGGAGCTCTGTGTACTGATGAAAACGAATAATGGAACAATGAAAAATATAGGGCACTAAGCTTTACTGTCCGTACATTGGAGGACCGCCTCCGTGGTCTAGTGGTAGATCGTCCGCCCAGAGAGCGGAAGGTCCGGGGTTCGATCCCCGGCCGCGTCATACCAAAAGACGTTAAAAGATGGTACTTGTTGTTACCCTGTCTGGCGCTCAGCATTAAGGTGCTAAAACAAGGACTGGTTGGCTTGGAGTCAGTATACTGAGTCTGAGTGGGGTATTCATGTTAAACTGCGGCATGGTATCTAAGTGAGCTGTCACTATTAATCGGCATCAGTCAGGACTAGTACAAGCAGCCACACACACACACACACACACACACACACACACACGTACATGCACGTCGTTATATAAGTGCAATAATCTTGGATGCGACGTTAAACCCCATTTCACCTCACCTCACCTGTACATTGGAAATAGCGTGCTTACAAATTCAACACGTCGGAAATAAATATTGAAATGTGCTTGTGTGCATTGTTTCCAACATGTATTTGGTAGACAAGGCTGGGAACCCATGATGGCAAATCCTTTCAGTGTCTGAAACTAAGTATTCAATTATTCATTTCCACAAGTGTACTTCATAATAAGTGTTCAGTATTTGGCATTGTAGATGATGTACTACTTTCACCTACATTCGAACCTCGTGTTGAACTTGTGTTGTCGAATTCTCTGTTGTCTTGAACTGGTCTTCCGTTCCCCTCAACTTCTTTCTATGTCTGTCATTATTTATGCTTGGATCTGTGGAAATGGATCTGTCAAATTCCTGTTTATCTCAAACTCATTTGGGAGTCCCAAGTCCTGAAATTATGCATAAACTCCCTTGATGACTCAAACAGCTCAAATAGATGTAACGTCCATACACCCACACTTGCCAATCTTCCAGCTTGTACAGCCACTTATCCAAGCAGTGACAGTGAGATCAATGCTATGCTAGAGTTGTCTTTCCTTCACTACCAGCAGCCTGGGCTCTGAAATTGCGTACGCCTTGAAATCTAGTCTTGCTTCTGGAGACTGCCTCCATGGTCTAGTGGTAGAGCGTCCGCCCGGAGGGGGAAGGTACAGAGTTCGATGCTTGGGCCGCGTCATGCCAAAAGACGTTAAAAGATGGTACTTGTTGTTACCCTGTCTGGTGCTCGGCATTAAGGGGCGGCTCAGAGTCAGTATACTGTGTCTGAGAGGGGTATTCATGTTAAACTGAGGGCATGGTATCTCAATGTGCTAGCACTATAAATCCCAAAACATGATGTTTGGTTTTTGAAAAATCACTTTGTTGGTTGTCTCGAATCCCGGATAACTCGAACATTTTGTTAGGTCCCCATGAGTTTGATGCAAGGTTTGACTGTGTTTGTTTCTTTAACCTTTTGTTTTTTAAGCAAATTCTAAGTTCATGAAGTCTTTGAGGTCTCCCTTTATTTTTTTCATTTGAAGACATTTTCTTAAACATGTTAAAATGATTAATAAAGATATTTTAAGCACTTGACCAAGTTGTTAGAGATTGAATGTATGTAGATATAGTAGACAATGTTACAGTTTCAATACATTTCTATAAGCATGATAAGTGGGTAATTTGTTTTAATGTGGTATTTGCTTGTGTCAAGTGTTATATTCCTTCTATCTGCAGCAACTCGGTGATACAGCCTCAGTGTTGGAGAGCCTGGCCAGTGGCAAGCATCCCTTCTGTCAGGTGAGTCCAAACATTTTGACTGTCAGACTGTTACTGCCCCCTGTAGGTTATGGCTGGAGTATTGCTAAGGGTGGTGTTCAGTATTGCCCGTGTTGACTGTCAGACTGTTAGCGCCCCCTGTGGTATATGGCGGCAATATTGCTAAGGGTGATGTAAAGTATTGCCTGTGTTGACTGTTAGCGCCCCCTGTGGTATATGGCTGGAATATTGCTAAGGGTGATGTACAGTATTGCCTGTGTTGACTGACTGTTAGTGCCCTCTGTGGTATATGGCTGCAATATTGCTAAGGGTGATGTACAGTATTGCACGTGTTGACTGACTGTTAGTGCCCTCTGTGGTATATGGCTGCAATATTGCTAAGGGTGATGTTCAGTATCAGGTATGAAACTACTTACTCATTATTCTGGCTAGTTCTGAAATATTATTGACGCCGTCTAGACTTTGCATTCTAATGAGGTTCCGCATTGATGCAATCTGAAGACAAACCCTCCTAGTTTGAGCGTTACATCTTCCAGACACTGAATGCTGCCAAGAAGCCCATCATTGTTGTGGGTAGTGGGTTGCTGCAGAGGGAGGATGGTGCCGCGATACATGCCGCCGTGTCAACGCTGGCGGAGAGTGTCCGCTCCAGCTGTGGGTGTGGCCCGGACTGGAAAGTGCTCAACGTGCTACACAGGGTGAGTCAGTAGCCTTGTATGACTGGAAGGTACTAAGTGTGTTCAGTTTTCCTGAATAAGTTTCAGAAAACCCATGCCCAATACAGGGTGAACACTAATTTTCTTATGATAAAATCAGATTGATGTTATTTCTTTTTTCTTTCCTTCTTTGTCTCCAACTGCATGGTCCCTTCAGTAATGGATAAACGTTGAAGTCCACAACATGGATGGTAAAAGTGTCTTTATCCATGAAGAAATGCAAAAAATAACTTGAATCTCGGTATGAAAGAAATTAAGACAGGAATTTCAAAATCAGCCAGACTTAGATGTGTTTGTCTGATCCTTGAAAACATTCCGAGATAAAACTGAGGAACTCTGGGAGCTCGGTGGAGAAATGGCCGAGTTCTTCGTTCCCCCTTGGACATCAGCATGGTGCTGTCTGTTTTCACAAGTATAATGCAAACACATTTTAAATGAGTTGGGTGACATTGTGTACATGATCTATAGTGTTCGCACAATAGTCCAGCGGCCCTTGTCATGACCCTGAGCCAATGATTCTTAAAAATATAGTGCGGATGGTTGTTTTTTTTCTCTTTTTTGCTTGTTCAAACTAGTATGTAGCAAATAAACAGTTGTGTACCATCAGCCTGGGAAAGGGCCTCCCTACATAAACAAGCATACAAACTCCTATTGACACCATGACCATAACACAAGATGCGCAGTAAAGCAGTGTGCATGTAAAGGGAAGTAACTGTGTGCTATATTGGATCGCATTTTAATAGTATTTTTAAAAAAAATTTAAAATGGAAATATAAACAAAATGTGTGACTTAATAATGATGTGGGTGGTGCCTGAGAACCAAGACTATTATATTTTTTAGCCTTAGCTGGTCCCTGGATCCAAATACTGTAGGAGGAGACCTCAGTGATCCAAGGACCTCCCTTATTTTTGTACTAACCTTAAGGATCCCAGGACCCTGCTTAATTTTGTTCAAGACGTCAAGGACCCCACTTAAATTTGGCCATGACCTCAATGGTCCCCAAGCCCCCCTGTTATTTTGGGAATGATCTGTGTGTAGGTGGCCAGCCAGGTGGCAGCACTTGACCTCGGCTACAAGGCTGGCGTGGACCACATCCGACAGAATCCTCCGAAGGTCCTGTTCCTTCTGGGAGCGGACGAGGGGGCAATCACACGAGAAGACCTACCCAAAGACTGCTTTGTTGTATACCAGGGTGAGTGAGGCAGTGTGGCTGCAATGTCAGCATCTTTTGTGTCTGTTTCAATTTGCCTTGCAGTGGTGCCAATAACATATAGATTCAGACTCATGATCAAGGTTTAAACGATCAAGTTCTACTTTGAGCATGCATTCGTTGGGGGAAACATTCGACATGTTCAACTTTTTTTATATTATTATTAATATGGCATTGGGGTAGTCATGTGGATAAAGTTATCTCTCATCACCCCGAAGGCCCATTTTCCGAAGGTCCGATTTCCCTCGTAGGTGCAAAATGTGAAGCCAATTTCTTGTGTTCCCTGCTCTGATGGGGCTGGAAGACTGCTAAAGGTGGCGAAAGCCAATACTCACTCACTGTTATTGTTGTTTTCATCATGATTATTGCACATATGCATAATACAAATCTTATTAATGATTGGTCATTATGAAGTATCCTGATATGAATAGGTCTTCAGCAACCCATGCTTGCTGTAAGAAGCGACTATGCTTGTCTGTGCAAGGCAACTAACAGGATCGAGTGGTCAGGGTCACTGACTTGGTTCATGAATGTCGTTGTATCCCAGTTGTGTAGATCGATGCTCATGATGTCAATCACTGGATTGTCTGGTCCAAACTCGATTATTTTCAGACCGTCGTCATATAGCTGGAATATTGCTGAGTGCGGTGTTAAACAACAAACAAATCTGAGGGAAATTCTTTGTAGGTTGTTATCCCAATGTTTTCTTCATTTCTTTCTTAGGATGATAATGTGTACAACATAAAACTGGAACTGGAAACAATTGGATGAACCGTAGATTTTTGTGTTGTTTAGGTCCATGTTTTGATCCTATTTCATACATGACTGGCTTGTCTTATGGAACTGTGGTTTAAGAGTGGCCTGACAGAATCCCAGAAGTAAAGTAACTCACATCTTTATGACAGGAATCTCAAGATCAGCCAGACTTAGATGCATTTGTCTGATTCTTGAAAACATTCCGAGACAAATCTGAGGAACTCTGGGAAGTCAGTGGAGAAATGGCTGAGTTCTTCGTTCCCCCTTGGACATTTTGATTGCTTCGAATTTATGACAATTTTTTTTCTCATATTTCACATGTTATACATTTTAATACACAAGGTATTTATGCATGTTGGTATCAGGTCACCATGGCGACAGAGGAGCTGAGATGGCGGACGTGATACTCCCCGGAGCAGCATACACGGAGAAGGATGTGACGTACGTCAACACAGAGGGCCGCGCACAGCTGACGAGGACGGCGGTCACACCTCCAGGCCTTGCTCGGGTCGACTGGAAGATCATCAGAGCCCTGTCAGAGGTCAGTACATTGTGCTGTAAGCTTCAGCAGGGTTTCCATGGGGTTTCATACGTAAGAAATAAAGTTGATATAACACAAAGCCAGAAAACCTGTATTTATGGAAGCCCGTAAACCCTTGTGTTTGTGAAGGCATGTAAACCCCTTGTAGTTTTGGAAGCCGGTAGACCCTTGCGTTTGTGAAAGTTGGTAACCTCCATGTGTTTGTGAAAGCTGGTAACCCCCATGTGTTTGTAAAAGCCGGTAACCCCCATGTGTTTGTGAAAGCCGGTAACCCCCATGTGTTTGTGAAAGCCGGTAACCCCCATGTGTTTGTGAAAGCCGGTAACCCCCATGTGTTTGTGAAAGCCGGTAACCCCCATGTGTTTGTGAAAGCCGGTAACCCACATGTGTTTGTGAAAGTCAGTAACCCCCATGTGTTTGTGAAAGCCGGTAACCCCCATGTGTTTGTGAAAGCCGGTAACCCCCATGTGTTTGTGAAAGCTGGTAACCCCCTTGTTTTAGTGAAAGCCCGTAATCCCCTTGTGTTTGTGGAAGCCGGTAGACCCCTTGTGTTTGTGGAGGCATGTAACCCCCATGTGTTTGTGGAAGCTGGTAAACCCTTGTTTGTGAAAGCCCTTAATCCCCTTGTGTTTGTGGAAGCCGGTAGACCCCTTATGTTTATGGAAGCCGGTAAACCCTTGTTTGTGAAAGCCCTTAATCCCCTTGTGTTTGTGGAAGCCGGTAAACCCTTGTTTGTGAAAGCCCTTAATCCCCTTGTGTTTGTGGAAGCCGGTAAACCCTTGTTTGTGAAAGCCCTTAATCCCCTTGTGTTTGTGGAGGCGTGTAACCCCCTTGTGTTTGTGGAAGCCGGTAGACCCCTTGTGTTTGTGGAGGCGTGTAACCCCCTTGTGTTTGTGGAAGCCGGTAGACCCCTTGTGTTTGTGGAGGCATGTAACCCCCTTGTGTTTGTGGAAGCCGGTAGACCCCTTGTGTTTGTGGAGGCGTGTAACCCCCTTGTGTTTGTGGAAGCCGGTAGACCCCTTGTGTTTGTGGAGGCATGTAACCCCCTTGTGTTTGTGGAAGCCATGAAACCCCTTGTTGTTTGTGGAAGCTGGTAAACCTCTTCTGTTTGTCCACCAGATGGTTGGAGTGACCTTGCCCTATGACAAGATCACAGAGGTGAGACGGAGGCTGGGGGAAGTCGCCCCCAACCTGGCACGGGTCGGCGACGTGGAAGACGCTAACTACTTCACACAAGCACAGCAGCTGGCACAAGTAAGATATCAGTCCTCATTCACTTTACAATGTGGCCTTACTTTCAGACAGTCTGAAAGATGTGAATGATGTGTAATAGTAGCTTAGTGACTGTGTCTGTCTTATAAGTTTGTGAGCCACAAGTGTCACTAGGGGGGTGTACAAGCTTTTAGGAGCTGAATGGGCTTGTACACCATGCTACAGAAGGTTGATGGTTGTACATAAATGCTCAGCTCAGAAAATCCATTACACTCTGCTGGTGACACCTGTGACAAATTCATCATCGTGTGTTCTCAAGTGGAGAGACTTGTATTGGGTGAAATATGTTTGTGTGACAATATCAGATCTGTTAGTGGGTTTAGTATGGTAACTCAGATGTGGAGAGAGTCAGTTATGACATAACAATCAGATGATGTCACTTGATATGCTATGATGTCATGATGCTGACGGACTGGTATGGGGTTTTACAAGATGGTGACTGGCCAATCAGATAGCTGGATTTTATGAATAGGTATCTCCCTGTGTACTGAGAAGGAATATTTAAGTAAAAGTTTCATTTTTCTTCCACGTATTTGGGTCTCTAAATTAGGATATCAACAGTATCTTGTCTGCCCATATGACTTGTTCAGATCAAAGAAAACATTGCTTCCCACTTGAGTAAACGTGCTTGAGTTTGTATTGTAGTTGGGGAAGAAGCCTCTTGGAGCCAGCCCCCTGACCCCATCTCAGCAAGACCTGAAGGATTTCTACATGACCGATTCCATCAGCCGCGCCTCGCAGACAATGGCCAAGTGTGTACAAGCCTCCAGTGAGCCTAACAAATACTGAACTTCTGCATAGACAAGCTGTACATCACTGTACATCAAGGCATCTCACTGGGCAGTCAGACCTCTATTCTGATTGGATAAGGGATGGTGTAATGTTTCATCTTCTTATCTGATTGGCCAAAAAAGTTTAGGGAAGGATTGAAAAATATACTTTTGCATAAAGTGCTGTTGACTCAATTTAACAACAAATATGAAATTTTTGTTGTGCTTTGTAGTCTTTGATGGGTTAATATGAATGATGTCATTTAGAGCATCTGTATTAATATTTCTTAGACCTTCCATTGTTTTGAACCTTTCCAGTCTTCAGGTTGAAGTGTATGCGAAGTGCTACAGATCATCCAGGCCTGTTACTGGTGATGCGAGGAAGCCCAGTTCAGACTGTATATATTTTCCATAGTATTTATGGATGGGCATATTTTAGTGAAAAAGATGGTTTGTGAATTGAAGTTGTTAATGAACATTTGTAAAATAAAGAATATGTGGATATAGTATACACTGGTTTGTCTTTCATGGAATCTTTGAATGTTAACATCTATCTGTGAATGGACAGTGACTCGTGAAGTTCCAGGTTAGAATTGGTCCTCAGCCCATGCTTGTCTGAAGCCATAACTAACGGTTTGGGTGTTCAGACTTGCTGACTTGGTTGGTGCACGTCATCTTATCCCAGTTGCGTAGATCAGTGCTCTTGATGTCAATCATTGGAGTGTGTGGATGAGTCAGACTTGGTTAATTGCATGTCATAGTAACCCTATGGCTTGATCCTTGCTCTTTGTATCAAATGGTCGTTAGTCAGATCAATCACATACATGCCACTGTCATTTAGTTGTACAGCCCGAGGCACAAACTAGTGTTGCCACGTTGGAATATGATGTGACCAAGACACCCAAAATATTGGAACTGCTTGCTAGATGTGAAATCGTAACTACCTCATGATATGCGTTTACTGACCGACATTGTGATTGTGAAAGTAGAGCAGTAACAGCTAATCAAGATACGGGGGTGCTCCATCTGGACAGGGTTACAATAGGCCGCCACTGCCTAGTACTAACAGCAACATCATCACTGAATCAGAGTTTTGATTCTGACACAACATATCTCAGCGAAACTCTGCGAGACTATCTGAGGCATCTCCAAAGAAAGTGTCATCAGGTGAACCTAGGCCAAATTTGACTGTCCACCTCGACTGAAGGTGGTGTCAGCCTTCTGAAAGGATTCAGTGTCATTTCCTCATCACTTCAGTTTGGAAATTTTCGATTTTTACAAATGACGACCCACTCAAAAGAGACAGTCTTTCAATCATTCTCTCTTTTGTGTGTCGATGTTGTTCAGTTGCTGACCCTCATGCAGAGTTATCGGAGAAAAGGAATAATCCTAAAGAGATTGTAACTGAATCAAGCTTGGTGAGATTGCTTTGCCCTGATGTTGTGGATCGGTTTTATGTTTCAGTCACTGGATTGTTGGACCCAAATTCAATTACTTACAGGTGCCGTTACAAAGCTGAAGACCCCCTCTGTGGTCTAGTGGTAGAGCGTCTGCCCGTAGAGAGGAAGGTCCGGGGTTCGATCCCTGTCCGCGTCATACCAAAAGACGTTAAAATATGGTACTTGTTTTTACCCTGTCTGGTGCTCGGCATTTGGGGGCTTAAACAAGGACTGGTCGCCTCGGTGTCACAATACTGTGTCTGAGTGGGGTATTCATATTAAACTGCCGCATGGTATCTCAGTGAGCTAGCACTTTAAATCGGCATCAGTCTGGACTTGTACAAGCAGCCACACACAGCACTCGCTATATAAGTGCAATAATCTTGGACGCAACTAAACCCCATTTTACCTTCAGCTTACAAAGCTGAAACAATGTTGACAGCAGAGTGAATGAATGAGTATGGATTTCCTCCGATTTTAGCAATATTCCAGCAAACAGCGATGGAAACCAGAATTGGGCTTCATGCATATACCCATGTTGGGAATCGAACTCGGGTGTTGCCATGACGAGCGAACAATTGACTAGGCTACCCCACTGTCCCTGACTGCAACTGTGAAACTAATTTTCGTATTATTTTATTACAATTGTTTCAATGGAAATCTGATGAAGAAACAGTTTAAGTTAAAAAAAGAATATTCTCCATGTTGGTAAAGCACTTTGTGACAAAAGAAAACGAAATGGCACTAGATTCGTTGGACTTTTACATGACAGGTTTGTGTTTACAAATATAATTGAAACTTGATCAGTACATGGACATCGGCTGTGATGACAGTGCAGCAGTTGTCTGACTTGTTTAAACTTTTGGCCAGCAGGGATAGTAATCGAACTGTAAAACAGAAAACAACAACATTTGAAGACGGTAATCAAGCTAGATCAATTGCCGTTGATAATTAATACAATATCATTAAAATCAGATCTTAGTTCTCGCTACCGCTGAACAAAGGTCTGAGGACATCCTATTACGGGTCACGTCAGACCGACCTTGCGCGAACTTTGACCGACCGATAGAAAGACAAGAAGTCGACATTAGACAATCAGAAAGCAGCTTTCTCGTGCTTTACGGCACTAATTTCAAATTGGCGACTTCAAAACATATTTTGACAAATTCTAGATTACAAATTTGAAAGCTGAACAAAAGAACATTCTGGAATGGCTAATAGATGGTCTAGATTCAGTCGTTAAGCCCGTAACTATCGTTCAGAATATCCCGTGTTAAAGTTTTCAAGGTTGCATTATCAGACTTCACATTCCGAATGTCACTTTCATGATCTGGTAAGCGACGCTCTGATTGGTCGGATGAAAGGTCGTTCTGACGTGACCCCTAATGGGATGTCCTCAGAAATTGTAATTAATAATTCATAATGTTGATGCATCAATGTTCCATATATTAGTCCTGGGTTACCAAGTTCAATATATCTCCTTCATTATAGAATGAATATGTGACATTCTGGATAATCGAGGAAGCCAAATATTCCGAGGAACGTACCCAGTCCAACACACCGACGAATCCATTTTTCTGCATTGGACAAGACCCAAGGCGCAGGGCGCTATTGCTCTTCACCAAGTCACCTTGAATGTAAAGTTATCACAAATTAGATGAGAAAATAAATCGCAATCGCCAGTAATTAAGCTATGTCATAGCGGCATATAAGTAATGGGTTATAGCTAAAACGGCACCTCAGCAAAACGTCACCTGGCGAAAACGGCACCGATTGGCGAAAACGTCACCTCGCCTCAGGCGAAAACGGCTACTAATGCCTGGCGAAAACGGCACCTTATGTTTTTTTAACCTTGATAAAATAAATGATATAAAACTAACATGGTCGCTTGCAAACACCAATAATTGTGAAATGTTACAACTAGTTTACATTAGAATTTAGCCTCTACTCCAACTATTTTCCAACTTAGCCAATACGCAACTCAACTTATTGTGAAAACATAACATGCCTTGAAGTAAAATAATGAAATTAAACTCACATCGCCTCTTACAAACACTAATAATAGTGAAATGTTTAAACAAGTTTACAGTAGAAATTAGCCCCCTACTGTCCAGGACATTTTTTTTGAGGCCAAGAGAATACCCTCCTGGTAAATAGAGGTGCCGTTTTCGCCTGTCACATAGTAGCCGTTTTCGCCAAATGCGGTGCCGTTTTCGCCAGAGAAATCGGTGACGTTTTGCTGAGGTGCCGTTTTAGCCTGCACCCTAAGTAATGGTGTAGGAACAGCCAAACCGGACATGAACCCCAGGAACGGTTCACGACCTTGGGATACGATGACGCGAAATGAGTCGTACCATGGAGCTTGACCACACGGTACACCATTTCAGTCGGCTCTTACAAGAAGATCCGGGTAAGAATAGGTCTTCAGCAGCCCATGCTTGACGTAAAAGGCGACAAACGGGACCGGCTGGTCGACTCGTTAATTTGGTTGATGTATGTCATCGTATCCCAATTGTGTGGATCGATGCGCATGATGTCAATCACTAGATTGTTTGGCCCAGACTCGATTATTTACAGACCGCCATCATATAGCTGGAATATTGCCGAGTGCGGCGTTAAACAAACAAGCAAACAAACAAACAAACAAACAAAGAGCCAGCATGAATCACTGGGGGCTTTATCAGTCCCGGAATACCTGGACAACTATAACTATGGCTTGTACGTGTCTCCGTAGTCAAGTGGATAGAGCAAGGTCGGCCGCGTCATACGCTCGGCATTTAGGGCATAAAACAAGGACTGGTCGGCTGTAGGTTTACTGGTTCTGAGTAGGGTACTCATGTTAAACTGCAGCATTAAGTGCATTAATTGTGATGTTAAAACCCAATTTATCGAAAAAAAGACGTCGCCGAAATTTTTTGAAAAAAATAATTATGTTTCTGAGTAGGATACTCATGTAAAACTGCAGCACGTATCGCAATGGGCTTGCACTATGAAGGCCTATTTGTCCGGAATGGTACACGCATGCATGCACGCTGCTATGAGTGCATTAATTGTGATGTCAAACCCCAATCTATCAAAAAAAGGACGTCGCGGAATTTTTTTGAAAAAAATAATTATGCTTCAGATTTAAAAAAAGAAATTGCCTGCCACGAACATTACATTGTTGAAAGGTGTTGGTCTTAAAAATAATTATTCAGGCGCATACATTTAATAAAACATATCTGGATTTGTAGCTGTAGCGGAAACATATATAATCGTTTCTAGGTTTGTCAGCACCACACCCGTGCTCGGGGGAATGAGCAATGTCGTAAACGTCTGAGGCCTGCATCACTTTAGGCTATCCTCCCACATTAAGAAGACACACCGTGATATAACTGGAATACTGTTCTTAAGTGGCGTTAAATCCAACTCGCTCTCCCATATAATAAAAAATATCTTTTCATAAATGAATGTTTGGGGCTGGACTGGTTTGGATTGATCAAAATGTAGATATGCCAGAACGATTTAGGATTGATTTCACACGGTAATTAATTCAAATTTATTATGTGTCGTAATGGCGCACGCTTAGTACTCTATTAAATATTTCATAAGCAAAATAGTTTTTGTTCTTTGTTCAACTTCTACGACATGTCAATTAGAATTGATCGATGTTGATTTTCTTACCGAGTTCGCTAAACAAAGTACCTGTCATTAGCGACTCAAAGTCGGCAACTCTATATTATCGTGGTATCACTATATTCACTATATTCTAGTGTGATACTGTTTACATCACTTCCTGTTTTAGATTATGCATAATCAGTATCCACACAACCTAGGTTTGGTCAAGGGACTTCGTCCAATCAAATGGGTTCTTTCCTAACCAATTTTGAATAGAGGTAGGGGTAATTCCACTTCAAAAACATTCCAGAAACTATCATAAATAAGTTAACGTGTATACTTACCAGTAGCCGTGACATACCTTAATGAGCCCTGTATTCCATCAAGTGATGAAATATCTTGCTTAGATTTGCATAAGTAAACGATCGACAGGGGTGTGCGGATTACGAGATTTATCGATACCGCGATAATATAGATCCCGCGATAATATAGTCCTACTGTACTTCCAAAAGTGGTTATCTACCTTTGTCCAAAAAATAAATCAGTATTCAGGTATTAAAACAGATTTAAATATAGAAAACTATTTGTTTGAACTAATTTTAAAGAAATTCCGAGTGACGTCGGCCCGATCTCACCATCTCATTAAATCAGGTAGTACCTGTCAACTATGAAGCTTAAATAATTTCGAAGATTTATATCATTTTTCACTTGTTTGTTCATGGAATGTCGATATATAAAACAAACCTTTATCAACGATTATGTTTCAAACATCCTCACTTAACTTACGAATTACATATTTTACCTACGAATGAAGACTAAATATTATGTCATTTTTACAAAAATTGTCAACGTTCATTTTCCATAATATTTAATCTCGGAAAGCATACACATCCTCAACGACTGCATTTGATTAGTTAGCATGGTTAGTGATGTATTATAAGTTGTAGCAGGATCACGAATAGAACCCCATGTACCCCGAGTGGTCCTGGTACAGCGAATGTATCCTACCGACATGTTTAAATATGACATTGTAAAAGAATTACTCAAATTCAAAATTTTAGAAAACAGCGGTTCGATTGAGCTGAAGGTAACTTGTGCTATATCACGTGACTTTCGTTGATTCGGAAAAAGCGTGAGGCCTTTTGCATCGAAGCGGGATGTGAGAGATTTATTCTGCCTCTAAGAAATCCACTTGCTCGTGGCGGGGTATAAGGGATTTTTTTACCCGTTGCGAAATTTCTGTCCCTCCGAGGCGGGATAAATAGTATGTTATCAAGATCACGGGGAGCAATCTGATGTCATTATTCTGACAAGGAGGTATGATAATTTATATTGTACCCGTAGCTAGTTTGTATACATGTACTATGGCCTATGGTCGTCTAAGTCTTAAGAAATAAAGATTGACTGGACTGGTTACTTCTGGTTACTACTGACTTCCATGTGGGTAAAGTACATTAAACCAGTTATTAATTTCCAAAGATTTGGCAATGCTTTTGCGAAATATTGAAATAGATAGTAGGAGTTGATAAAATGCATTCCCAGCAAATTTGCATGAGATCATTCAGATACCACTTTACTCGCCTTCGGTCATCTAACACCTTGACCAATCTGACCTAATTTACAAACATATTGTCACCTCCACACGAGAGACTAATTCAAGGACCTTCTGGGGATGTCGGAAGCTGACCGTGGAGAGACCCCGAAATCACCGTCATATATCTGCATCTGGGCATCCATGATCATTAGACACAATACTAACAGAGAACCCTGAACGAAAATCAAATTAATGCGAATAGTCATACCTTTGAACTTTAAACACTAATTAGTGAACGATAACACCAAGACTGTGGACTTAAAATTCAAAGTTACAGCATGGGGTGCTAGCAGTTGGAATGCATTATGTCACTTTCCTAATGCGAGCAAGGGACACTCGCACTTTCGCATTAATTTCATGATTGACAGTTCTATATCAAATGACAGGGACTTACCGACGAGGCCGTTACTGTTGATGGTACGACCGCCATGCTCGTAGTCTATCCGGACGCTCAGTGTGTCCATTGCCTTTAAGACGACCAGTGTGTTGAACTCCCCCGACTGTCAACATCAACAACGATGACAATCATATACTGCTCTACTTTTGACAGGGATATATATTTATCTTTCCCTGATACACATTACTCATTTCATATGTCAAGTGTGTAAAGGAATAGAATGACATAGCTGACTATCCCTATGAAAACTTGAAAGGTATACATTACAACAGTCGATGGCGGGTGAAATCTCCACGTGTGGGGTGGGTTAGATGTCGCTTCTAACAGTATTTGGTGGCACGGATGACCAAGTCGCCTTAGGCGCCGCAATTCGCTTTGCAGAGTTGCGTCCCTTGGGCACGCCAGGAACTTATGATCCTGGGTTCGAATCCCGGTTCGTACCGATTATGTTTCTAGGTTTGTCAGCACCATCCTCGTGGGTTTCACCAACGATGTTAAAGCCTAAGACCTGCATCATGTCTGACTTTCCTCCCACATTAAGCTGACAGCCGTGATATAACTGGAATACTGTTCAAATCGGCGGTACACTCAACTCACTCACCGTGACGCTAACAGTATGTAATTCACACCGCGCATGACAACTCGATGGAGGAAAGCACGAACAGATGGATCTCTTAAATGTTTACCGCTTTGCTGAAACCCACGAGGACGGTATAGTTAATCACGACGAATCTCTGCTTCGAACACAATATATTCACGATATCTTTCTTTATTTAACACACCAATATTCATGATGGTTGGTTGGTTGGTTGGTTTGTTGTTTAACGCCGCACTCAGCAATAGTCCAGCTATATGACGGCGGTCTGTAAATAATCGAGTCTGGACCAGACAATCCAGTGATTAATGTCATGAGCATCGATCCACGCAATTGGGATCGATGAAATGCATCAACCAAGTCAGCGAGCCTGACCACCCGATCCCGTTAGTCGTCTTTTACGACAAGCATAGTCGCCTTTTACAGCAAGCATGGGTAATATTCATGATGTACAAGGTGGGTGGGGTAGCGTAGTGGTTGCCTGTCCTGTTGGAGGCCCGGGTTCTATTCTCCACACTGGAACTCCACGGGGCGCTGCGTTTGGTACCATGAACTGGGTTCAGTCTAGTTTGTACATCTCGCACATGAAAGTAGGATTATACCACTGGACATGCTTATCACACCTAGGTTAAGTACGTTGTCTTACCTTGAACGGCACCACTACCTCCACGCCTTGAGACATATTGTAAGTTCTCGCGCGAACTCTCACGAGGTTTTTCTTCGCGTGATTCAATTGTGTCTTGTCCAAAAAGACGAGCAGTGAGGGTTTACCGGGAGGGTCTTTGGCGTCACAGTTGGTGAGCAAAACCTAAACATATAAAGACAGAACCTATACCACTTGGAATATATACACAAAATATCGCGATTGAATAAATATACATTACATAACGAAAGTAACTACAAGTGTGCTTTAATAATTAAGTGAATTGTGTATATAATAACTTGTTTTCGTCTGTTTATGGCTGAAATAATGCCGATGAGACGTTAAATTTTAACTCACTCACTAATAATTATAAAGTGAAAACAAGCCATTCTGGCGATAAGGAATAATACTTACAGTGATGAAAAAACTTGCAAAGTGCGCATTTCAGGAAATATCCATTTTTCTAGCAATAAACATCATTGTTTTGATCACGTTGTTATAATCCCGGTAAGGTCAGGTGAAATGGGGTTTAACGTCGCTTTTAAGATTATTGCACTCATATAGCGACGTACATGCAGGCGCGAGTGTTTGTGTGACTGCTTGTACTAGTCCGGACTAATGCCGGTTTTATAGTGCTAGCCCACTGAGGTACCATGTCGCAGTTTAACATGAATACCCTACTCAGACACAGTATACTGACTCCGAGCCGACCAGTCCTTGTTTTAGGCCCTCAATGCCGCGCGGATCAGGTAACTGCGCGCGTGTCAAGTTAGCAGTGCGTGGATACAGAGACAGCTGTGAATCTGCATAAAGTTTTGTTTTGTTGGTTGTTTGTAGTTTAACGCCGCAATAGTCCAGCTATATGATGGCGGTCTGTATATAATAGAGTGTGGACCAGACAATCAAGTGATTGACATCATGACATGTATCAACCAAGTCAGCGAACCTGACGACCCGATCCCGTTAGTCGCCTCTATGGACAAGCATGGGTTGCTGAAGACCTATTCTAACCCGGATCTTCACAGGTTATTTCCAAAAGATGCTCTACTAAAAAAAGTCGGGACCACCGATTCTTTCATATTATTATAGTTAATATGTCATGGCATGATAGATTAGCTATAGTTATGTTAAAGAATCGGATGACCCTTAACTTATTTAAGTAGTTTACATGGAAGTTCGGAATAAGCGAAATTAATTGTGGTGCTGAACTTTTTTCGATTTGCATACCTAACTGCCATTCTGGGCGCAGATATAGGCACCGGTCATACCTGTTTCTTTGCCTTGGATGTAGGATCATCCTTAAATCTCATCTGAACCTGAAGATTGGGGTCAAAGGGCCTGTCTTTGAAGGTCCAGAAGATGGCCGAGGAATCTTCAGTGAAGTGCGCAAATCCCTTGTACAGATCCAGCGTCTCGCCACCGCCGATGTTATAGCGTATCACCTTGTTCTTGACGGTTTTAGAGTTAAAATCCATTGCGAATCGTGGTCTGCACCCTAGTGGTTAAACTACGTCTTTAAATAATTTGTTACTGCAGAACTGTTTAATTGGCATTGTTAGGAGGTAGTTAGTCAGTTACATCGCTTTTGTTTGACAACGGTAAAGGATCGATACAAGATGTTGCATCATGATATAATGAAGAACTTGACATAACATATCATGTCTTTATTGTTGGTGCGGGTTCGTGTGGGGGAGGAGACAATTCTGGTATCAACTGTTTTTGTGAGAATATCATTGAAGTTTATACTGAAACAATGTCTTGTCATATATATTTTTTCGATCCTTATCGGCAAACCATACAGACTGGCTTGTTGTAGCCATGCTATAAATGATCCCTAACAATATATCTATTTATATATATACATTGAAACCGTCACTCCAATCATATTTTCCGTGAAGATAATGTCACATATTAGAAATGTTTGTTTGTTTGTTTGATGTTGTTTAACGGCATATCCAGCATCATTCCAGCTATATGACGGCGGTCTGTAAATAATGGAGTATGGACCACACAATCCAGTGATTGACATCATAAGCATCGATCCACGCAGTTGGGATACGATGACATCCAAGTCAGCGAGCCTGACCACCCGATCCCGTTAGTCGCCTCTTACGACAAGCACAGTCACCTTTTACGACAAGCATGGGTTTGCTGAAGACATATTCTACCCCGGAACTTCACAGGTCGCTATTGCTAATGGGGGGCACGGGTGGCCCAGTCGTCTAAGGCGCCGCGATTCGCTGTGCAGAGTTGCGTCCCTTGGGCACGCCAGAAACCTATGATTGTGGGTTCGAATCCCGGTTCGCCTCGATTATGTTTCTAGGTTTGTCAGCACCATACCCGTGTTCGTGGGTTTCACCGAAGTGGTTAACGTCTAAGACCTGCATCACTTCGAGCTTTCCTCCCACATTAAGCTGCAAGCCGCAATATAACTGGAATACTGTTAAAAGCGGCGTTAAACCAAACTCACTCACTCACTCACTCACTATTGATAATGAAATGAAAATAAGATATAAACTACAACGTATACATAAGAAATCACCCAAAAGCAATACACATTCCAGAATAAAAGTGAATGGTATTTACAGCAAGAGACACATTACTCACATTTAAATTTGTTTTCTCCATGCACACATGTGCATGTCTTAACGTTGAAGACGGTGCCACTAGCACATGGCATGATGCTACCGGAGTAGGTGTCGAGGTAGACGGTGTTGTTGCCGGCCACTTGCTCGAAGTAACAGCCTGCTTGAAGAAATAACAAGAAGCCATGGATCTGTGACGTACACCAAGATGCCATAATCCTAACTATTAACTTGTAATACAAACTACACACCGTGTTCAATAGTCTGTCATACGGACCCTGAAGCAAATTTATCCTATGCAGCCCATGCAAGTCTATAATTGTGAGCAAGTCTAGATTACTGCAGTATCTGAAAATGAAAAAATAAATAAATAAGTCCGTACTTATATTGACACGTGTACAGTTAAACACTGTCTGTACTTATTTTGATGACTCTTACATTGCCACGTGTAGTCATACAGTCTGTACTTATATTGATGACTCTTACATTGCCACGTGTAGTCATACAGTCTGTACTTATATTGATGGCTCTTACATTGCCACGTGTAGTCATACAGTCTGTACTTATATTGATGGCTCTTACATTGCCACGTGTAGTCATACAGTCTGTACTTATATTGATGGCTCTTACATTGCCACGTGTAGTCATACAGTCTGTACTTTTATTGATTGCTCTTACCTTGATACGTGTATAGTCATGCATAGTTTGTACTTATATTGATGACTCTTACATTGCCACGTGTAGTCATACAGTCTGTACTTATATTGATTGCTCTTACCTTGATACGTGTATAGTCATGCATAGTTTGTACTTATATTGATTACTCTTACATTGCCACGTGTAGTCATACAGTCTGTACTTTTATTGATGGCTCTTACTTTGATACGTGTATAGTCATGCATAGTTTGTACGTATATTGATTACTCTTACATTGCCACGTGTAGTCATACAGTCTGTACTTTTATTGATGGCTCTTACTTTGATACGTGTATAGTCATGCATAGTTTGTACTTATATTGATTACTCTTACACTGCCACGTGTACAGTCATACATAGTATGTACTTATATCAATGTACTTTACATTGACACGACCTTACATTGACACGTGCAGTCATGCATAGTCTGTACTTATATTGATGACTCTTACATTGACACGTGTACATATTAGCCCTTTACAGTTGTGTAACTTGTCACTGACACTCATACAGGTTTTATACTCCACACTTCCACAATAGACATTGGAGGCTTATTTATGTCCCATCATTTATTATTTCTGTATGCTCATTCATTTTCTGGAAATGATAAGTTGACGATCACTTCACACGACAAATCATTGACACGCTCCGTGTAACCTTCAGATGCATCAACGGACAGCTTAAAATAATATGTACAAAAAAGTTGTCATGGATTTGTCATGGATTGATCGTTTCAATTGTCATGAGATTTGTTGCATGGCTGACTTGACAATCACGTACAGAATGATGCATCTTCCCGGGGGGTTATTAATCAGCCACATGTATTCACGATGTCATCAACATCACGATGTTCGTTCACGACTTGGCATTCTGCATTAAATGAACATGCATTTGCCATGGGAATATGCCATTACACGTTGAAAAGCAATTAATCGACCGATGAAATTGTGAAGCCTAGAGCTTGCACTGCGCGCCTGTGTCTCTCAGGGAAATATAAAAGCATAAGTTAAACCCATGATAATAAGGGAAGCCTTTTAGGGCCATTTGTTTTTCTCTTTTTTTACGTGAAATGTCAAGATGCCAACTTAAAAATTGCAAGATACCAACTTAATATTTCTGGATGGTATTTTGAAATTTCAAGATAATAAGTTGAAATTTCAAGTTAATATCTTGAAATTCCAAGTTGGTATCTTGAATTTTGAAGTTAATATCTTGAAATTTCAAGATCATCATCTTGGAATTTCAACTTAGTGTGTAACTTGAAATTTCAACATGGCATCTTATGTACAATATTTACACAAGTGGCCCTAAAAGGCTTCGGTACAATCTTGTTAAGATGAAATCCTAGTTCTCGCTACCCGCTGAGCAAACATCTGAGGACATTTGGGGTCACGTCACACCCTCCTTTCATCCAATCGATCAGAGCCATGCTTACCAGATCGCGAAAGTAACAGTCGTAATCAATTTTTTAATCATGCACCCTCTTAAAGGTTAACACGGGTTATTCCGAAGGACGGGCTCTACGACTGTTTCCGTCAAACTCATCGTCTGTCTCTCGCTTCAATGGTGCAATCAGTTGAAACAGAAAAGACTTGCCATAGCTCATGGTACGTACTGCCATACAGTATCAGACATTCCAGAATTTCCTTTGTTCAGTTTTTACATTTTGAATCGATATCTTTCAAAGCCGAGTCAGATTTAATAGGCCCATGACGTTAACTTCCGGTAGGGCCGGAAATGCTCACTAGTTTAGCGAGCGTCTGGTGTCATTGTTCTGTGGGTTTTTGAGTTTGTCACTTTTCGTTTGGAACAAATTCCTTATTTTGAGAGAAAAGAATATAAAAACCTCCAATGCACTGACGTTATATTATCTACGTTTTATGAATAGCATTTTCACGGAAAATGCCTCGTTTCGTCAATGTTCGTGAAAAATATCTGTCGACGCCCTTTTGAAGGTTCACATACTTTGCAAATGCTGCAATCGACCGATATCTGCCTGGCAGTCGCCATGTTGCTTAAAAACCGGATGTCGATTTCGTTACGCGATTTTTGTTTGGGCTATGCATATACCCATTAGGCCTGTAACCATATAACTCAGAAATGCCAACCTTGTTCGGCAAGGATGGAAGCTGGACATTTAACTCCCTTGCCTCAGGAAGATGACCATGGCCTTCTTGTTTGCTTGTTGAAAACATTTTACCGAACGATCAAGTTATATGTTTTTAATACTTCAACATGATTAGTGTGCTTCACAACTTAGAGGGTTGTGTACCTCTCTAGATCAGCGTGTCATCACAGAAGCCACCGCCAAACTTCTACGGAATTTGATCTTCTTAGAGTCTGCAGGAGATCAGCGTCCCACTGTCTTCCTATTTGATGTTATTACTGTTATACGCAGTACTATCATGTATGGTGTTCCCATACTCGACTCACCTTTCGGTTGTGCTGAGGTCAACGTCAAGGTCACAGCCAAGACCATGCCTACGGCACATCCGGTCCACACTGATGCCTGCATCCTGGAAGATACACGGACAAACATTTACCTTCCATAGCTTCTCAAATATTTTTTCTTTCTTTTCAAGGTCATACTATACATAAATATATTTTTTGATTACTTTGATTAATTTTTTATATTGTATTTTCAATATATATATATATATATATATATATATATATATATATATATATATATATATATATATATATATATATATTAATTAATTAATAAGACAGCATAACCTCTTTGAGATACATTAGATATATCAGGGAAAGTTTTCCCCGCAACTTAGGAATGCAAATGCATATATAAAACAATTGAAAGTGGATATCAACATATTTACATATTTGTATACTTTTAATTGAAACAATTTAATGTTTAAAATGAACACCCAAAGTGCGATTTGCTTACTAGAGTCGTACTGTCATCAAATCCCCCCCCCCCCCCCCCCCCCCCCCAACAAAAAAAACCCACACAAACAACAACAACAACAAAACAAACCACCCAACAAAAACAACAACAACAAAACAAGAAAGAAAAAGCAAAATAAACCAAAGAAGAAACAAAAACAAACAACATCCAAGCATCAAAACCAAACCAAACAAAACAGAAACATAACTAACCAATAACTAACATAAAGAAGCTAAACCAAAAAAACAAAAAAAATAGCGAAAAAATACCCGAAAACAAATAACCCAATAACCTTCACTTAACACGGTTGAACATTTATTCGATATACATCACTCACAAAACGACATTTTAATGTGCAAAGTGATATTGAACACTCGCATTTACAATTACTTAACTAATCAACATATCAAATCAAATCAACATACTTGTATATAATAAAATATACATCTGACAACCGCAACTGACTAAATACTGCGCTGTCTCCCAAACTCCTTCAAAGATGACAAGACAGAAGCGTGAGCTCCGTGCCTTCTGTGTATGATTTATAGGTCGGCTTGTCAGCGTGTACACTCAGTGTCAGGCTTGTAGGATAGGAACATTAAACCCATGATTGATTGGTAATCTTATGTCATATCATGTCACTGGAATTTAGTTTATAATCACTCCAAGACAGACAATTATTGATAAATGAGGTTTATTTTAAATTCCTTTTTCTGTTTCGTTTTAACCAGAGCGGTTTAATTGCGAAAGAAAATGCAGAAGGTTTCCATCAATTTCAATATATTTTGATTCATGATATTTAATAAATCATGACAAAATTTGTAAATGATTAATTGTTATTATTTTAAAATAATTTGTCCAGAAGTGAGACAAACAATGTCAGAAGTATTGAGTCTAAGCCACCGCGTTTCTATGTATTAATAATAAAGATTTAATTTGTGAAAGTTTTGTGATTTCTATCAGTTAATTTTTTAGTTTTGATGATATGTCAAGTCGGCCATCACGTCTCAGTTTATTTGATAATACATTCATCACGGGGATTTCTGTCACTGAACATTGTCATGACCGGTTGATCCAGTGCAGTCTTTAAGAAACTCAAACCGATTCATTTGTCTCCAGAGTATAACTGTCTGAGGGAGAGAATATGTCTAAAACATGAATGTGCTTTGATTTATTGATGCACCAAGTACAAAAATAGTTTGATAATTGTTTATGGTTCTGTTTATTAAATATTTCAAATGAGGATTTTAGCTTTTATCTCCCATCAATGCCAGTTGTCATATTTATAACACAATCTAGCAAAAAACTAATAAATATTAAAACACATTCCTTGCACTATTCACCACAAAATGCAATTTATATGTAACAGTTTGTCTGCTCATGTCGTTAAGTAATGAAATCACATTGATATACTTTGCCGGGCACTTTGATGGTGGCTTAAAATGAAACCAACAAGAAATCATAATGTATTTGATACAGGTGTCAGGGTTGGTGTTTTGGACGTCAAGTTTGCAATGTTTCGGTGAACCTTTTCAGCCTAAACGTTCCCGTGATTTGTGCAATTCAAAATTTCGAGTGTATACTTTCTTTTGCCTTTCAGTTTAGTTTTGTTTTTGACCTTAAGTTTGCAGTATTTCGGTAACTATTTTCAGCCTTGTAACGTTTTGATAACGTTTCTAATCTTCTTGGTCAAATCCAGTTTTCAAATGTATACTTCTTTTGCTAGGCAATTGACAGTCAGATCCAAGTAGTGGCGTCTAGAATATACCAGTAGCTTACGTACGTCTGCATGTGCATTTTAACCACTTTTTGCAGAAAAACACATTTTGCTTATCAATCATAGTTTTACCATCAAAGGCCTTATTATGTCATTCCAGAAAATATATATATGGTTGTAAAAAAATGGCTTGTTATGATGCGCGCGGTTATCCAACGCTTCGTGGAGTATTTACATCTTACTAACCAACATTTTACTCTTTTAATGGACTGCGGATGGTCGGGGGCTCGATCCCCGGCCGCGTCATACCAAAAGAAGTAAAAGGTACTTGTTGTTACCCTGCCTGGCGCTCGACATTAAGGGGCTAAAACAAGGACTGGTCGGCTCGGAGTCAGTATACTGTGTCTGAGTAGGGTATTCATGTTTAACTGCGGCATGGTATCTCAGTATGCTAGCACTATCAAATCAGCATTAGTCTGGACTAGAACAAGCAGGCACACACACACGTGCATGCACGTCGCTATGTAAAGCTACAGTCACGCAGACAATGCGACCGCGATGCAACCTCTTGGCGACTGAATTCCCTAGCGACCGACTGGCGATCGCTGAGGCCGGTGCAACTACTTCTGCCCATATTTGGAATTAGCGTGTGATCGCCGATCAATCAGCGATAGGTTTTGCAACTTGTCAGTGATTGATCGGCATCTGTTCACCCCAGATACGGCGAGATGTTTGCAACTGGTTGAGACCAATCGGTGACCAGTCAGCGAATCTTCGGTGACTTGTTGCAATGGAACGGAGACTGGTCTGTGACTAGTTGTCGATCGATCACCGATCCAAACATAATGCATATAAAAAGCGTGATTTTTTTAATCAAATCATTTCTTTGCAAGTTGTCAAGATGTTAACAGCAGAACAGTTGCTCCGCCTGCAAAGAATAAATAAAAATGCTGCAGTTGCTGCCATGATGATGTACAGAAGAATGAGAAGGAGAAGATGAAGGCAGTATTGGCTGAGATCTTGGATCGCGAGAAGGCCATAGCTAGGAGACAAGGAGGATTTGATGGCAGAGTTGGAGAGAGAAGGTCGTGGTCATTTCGTGGGCTTCCTCAGAATGGAGCCTGTCAACACCTGGCATCTCTGGCTCTTCCTCCTCATCAGGTATCTGCCTCTTCTTTTGCCTCAATTGTGGCAGACCTGTGCACCACAGCAGTTGTCTCTATTGCATCGTCTACAGTTTCTGGTTCTTTTGTTTTCCTGCCTTTACGGACCATAGTGATGAATGGAAATAATTGATGTGAACTCTCTGAGTACATATGACAAAATGATGCTGTAATGCACAGACTGGTCTTTTTATAGACGGTGACATGTTGCAAACCCAACGGCGAATGATGGACGCACGCTTGGAAACCACTTTGCAACCGATCGACAACCAGTCACCGATGAAGCGCCGGTCGATCACCGCCTCATCACTGATCAATCACCGATAGGTCGCCACAAGGTTGCAAAGGGTCAACACCTTTGTGTAGACGAAACCGATCGCCGCACAGTGGAAACAAATCTGCGATTAAAATAACACCCCGGGGACCTCTAGGAGACCAATGGATACCAATGAAACCTCTGAGCGATCAAAGCAGTCGCAGCCAGTCTTTTGTGCATGTTCAAAAGACTGGTTGCGACCGAATGGGTTTTGCGACCGCTCTGAAACCTTGTAGCGACCTCAGTGAAACCTTTCAGAGACCCATGAAACCTCACTGCGATTGTCAAATATTTTGGTCGCCAGGAGGTTGCATGGCGGTCGCATTGTCTGTGTGACTGAGGCTAAAGTGCCATAATCTTGAGCGCGACGTTCTGTATGTATGTATGTATGTATGTATGTATGTATGTATGTATGTATGTATGTATGTATGTGTATGTATGCATGCATGCATGCATGCATGCATGTATGTATGTATGTAATGATTCTCCGCTTTTTATTCTTCTATTTTTAACTATTTTACTGTAAGCGTTTACTGAAACCTTGTTTTAATTTCCTATGTGCATCTGCTCATTTCAGTTGTTATAGTTTTCTCTCTTAACTGCTTTGTCAGAATAGCTCTAAATAACTAATGTTATATTGTAACCGACGTTAAGTATTAGTTCTTGTATCTGTGGAACTGTCAAAACACGTTTTTATGAGGTAATAAATACGTTTTGTTAACAGCTGGTGTGATTAGTTGTCATGAACACGTAAACGACAGAGTGATACATTCATATCCATATATAGTAACCAGTTTTATGGTTCTGATAATATTTATTCACTTTCAGGGAACCCATATATAACTCCGTCTTTCAACAACTGAGACATACCAATCACAGACGTCAGACATTCTCCACCAGGAAACAACGCGACACATAAATGTCAGCACAACATTTCATTACTAGGTGACATATAAGAGACTCAGACACGAAGCTGTTCAAACAGTCAGTATTGTTCGTGCACATATTTTTCTATAAACGATTAAAAATATATACAACGTGAACAGCCCTTATTATGTTTGAAAACAATGTCAAATATGCTTTTATTAGGATAAGTGACAAGTCCAAATTTTACGATCGGTGACGAAAATGACATCCAATGTAATTCCCTATTTGACTTTCACCATACCGCGTTTTTATTAGGTGAGCTCATGCATTTCCTTTGCATGTGTTTTTGACTGTTGTCACCGGTGGGGTAGGATATGCTGACCATTTCACATATACGTGTCATCATTATTACTTGATGATTACTTGTCATAAAGACATGCTTACTTTTAAGTCGGAACCCAGTACTAACCTCGGCGTCACACTACTCCGGTTGTACGCCCACATTAGTGCAGACCATGATTGATCACGAAACAGATGATGTGCCATCAAGGTGTCGCCCATCTCTTCGGGACCACCCAGTATCATCACTGTTTGATAGTGATTCATAAACACACGCTCATGTCCTTGTCGGTATTGGACTCTCTACTGACAGTGGACATATTTTTTGTAGCTCTTATTTGTGTAACTACGGTATACTACGGTTATAACGAACTCAAAGGGACCACTGATATTAGTTTGATATAACAGTAGTTCGTTATAAGCATATGTACAGCAAATGGCCGGGATAAAAATATGTCCGTATATCCGTCAGTTCGTTCGTTATAAGCATGTTCGTTATAAACGTAGTTTACTGTATTATATATTGATAACACCAGGCGTTCGAGACAAGGGGAGTGTATATGTCTGAAAGACTATATCATATGTATGCTGTTTTGACCGGGTTTAATTTCACAAGCCAATTGCATGACAAGTTTCAGAGGTAAGTGAGGTTAAGATTGAAAGTTTCTTCAGAAAGGAAAGGAACAGAACAGAACATAATTAAATGGTACACAGGCCCTACATTCTTATAAGTATGTACACATTAGTCATTCACGCATAGGTTTGGTTAGAATTTAAAATTATTCAGTTTTGGGGTACACTTTTGTGAGAGCTTTGTCCAGGTGTTATTTTGACAGGGGATGTCCAAACAGAAGTTCAGCAGGAAAACAACAACATTTGAATTGTTATGATTTTAGCCATATATTATATCTAATACAAACAATACAAGGGGACATTGTACTGCACCTTGGGTTATTTCAGCTGAAGTGTATTTCAATGCGGATGGGGTACCATTTGCCAAAAACCCATTTTGTTTATTGAAGATAAATAGAAATGTAATTTTTTTCAACCATGGTAAGAGTTATCGAATAATCTATATTTTCAAGTTTATATAATATTCCTCTATGCAAAACTCCATAGGATTTCTGTAGAGACATCACAGATTATCATACAATAGAATTCATGTTTGTCAACATAAGAAAGAATGTTATCAGAAAGTTCAAGTAATGTCGAGACTGGGGTGTGTCCTGGAACAAATCCGGATTGTAACTTTTATAAAAACTGATTTATATGAAAATGGTTGTGGAAGTGTTTCAAAATAAGTCTCACCAATATCTTCCTTAGTATGGATAATAAACCTATTATAATATAATAATACTTTGAGGGAATGGATTTGTCTTCTTTCTTCACAACGGCATGACGTGGCTATTTTCCAGGGGTTTGAGTGAGAGAGTGAGTGAGTATGGTTTTACACCGCTTTTAGCAATATTCCAGCAAAATCACGGCGGGGGACACCAGAAATGGGCTTCACACATTGTACCCATGTCGGGATTCGAACCCGGGTCTTCGGCGTGACGAGCGAACGCTTTAACCACTAGGCTACCCGACCGCCCCCCAGGGGTTTGAACCACGACAGTGAGTTGACCTTGACAATGGATGGTGACTCCACTTGACCTCTCAACTGTCTGTGTATGTACAACTGACGTTACCAAAGACGTTAGATATTGTGTTGACGTAACGGAGACTCGTACTCGCAACCATACATCCTGGTTATATAGAAGCGTCGACGTTCAAGATGCACGCCCAGTTCCGTTGTAACGGTAACTCATTTTTAAATTCTTGTATATGTAAATCCTTTGATATTAATTTGTAATTTGTAAATCCAACGGTTTGAACGGAAGCAACATACAGTCCAGTTTATGGAGTCTCCACTAATATATGAAACACATTTGAGCCATCATAACACAGCGTTAACACAGTAATGCGTTGATTTCATACGCACAGCCCGTGAGTTCGATTCTCATCAGGGTACACCACACGATGGTCAATGTCCACGTGCTCCTCTGAGAGATATGTAACGAAGGCACCCTTTTAATAAAATGGCAACTACATAAAACCCAGCACTAAAATCCCCGCAAAACATACCTGTGTGTAGTACTGCCGTTTGTCTGTGCTGGCCGCCTTCCTTGCTTCCCGTACTTAGGTTTGTCAGTGAGAGGAATGCACAGTTGAACTTCTAAAAACTACTCACTTGTGTATGTGGGTCGTGCTTGACGTTGCACAGCTCCCCCTAGCGGCCTCGCTCAGGTCTTAATCAGCCTATTATATACCCTCGTACATCACATAAGGTGACTGACAAGGGATGACGTACATTGACATCGTGTGTGTTGTCATAGTGACAGACAAGATTGATACCTGTCTAATAATATAAGCTGCCCCCATGAGTAAGTTGGCGCACCTTGAACACTTTTTTGAGTTTGAAAAAGTTATGAAATATTGCTTTTATATCCACTTAATATTATATTTCTCTGTTTGATGTTCAGTTTTAATTGATTGCTCTTAAGAAAAAGGTATTGTTTGTACATGACACTGGATGTCACATCATCAGTTTCGTGATCAATCATGGTCTGTTCTTATGGGGGCGTACAACCGGAGGAGAGTGACGCTCAGGTTAGTAATGGGAATCCATAGTAACAAAAGCGACCAAACCCTTTCCATAATGAAAAAGGTCCACTGTGGGTTCCGATTTAATAGTACGCATGTCTTTATGACAAATGATCACCAATGATCCAGGTGTTTGCGAAATGGACCCGCCCAAAAGGGGACAACCGTCACAAACGCATGCAAAGGCAAGTCAGTTGTTCACCTGAAAAAAAACCACGGGAACAAATGGTAGGAAATTTTATCGGACACCAATTTTATCACTGATGCGTTTTATTTGAAAATGTACTTTACATGTCTACCATAAACTGTTTAAAAGCTTTATTAAGGTCTTGAATGTTGTAACCCCGATCAAACATTTTTTGGACAAGACTGATATACCACTTTTTGAAATCGTCGTAGAAGGAGTATGCTCAATTGTACCAAAACAGTTCTGAAATGTGGACATCAAAGAAGGAGCTGCTTGAATATTTCTCGACATAAAGGGAAGTTGGCTGTTGGAAATTTGATGTCACCCCTCCTGTCTTGTGGGGAGGTTTTGTCAGTCTGAATCTTTGTGTATATATTTGTGCTTATATCTAAACGCTTTGCACACAGGTGTTACAGGTGGCGGACGGGTTCCACACGAGTGACCAACGGGTTGCACACGGGTTGCGTCACGCGCTGCCCATGCTTGTAAGGGGAATGGACTTCTGGCCAGTAGTGTATCTAAGCGTGAAACAGATGAGGCGATTTCACAGGATCGGGTGGGTAAATCAGCAGAATGCTATTTGACCATTATTCTGAACGATATTTGATCATCGATATACAAGAACAAGAACTTTAGTTTTTGCTTCAAAAAGCTAAAGTTCTTGTCAAAATCCCCTTGTGCTGATTGTGCTAATCCAAGCAGAACCACTAGTTCATATGCATCACGAAACAAAACAGAAGGAAGAACACAATAGATGATATTTGCTTATATTTTAAAAAAAAACATGTGCTGAAGTTTGAAGATAGAGATGTAACTATGTCTGTGGTCACCACGTTATTTGACAAATGTCCCATGGTCAAGGAATGAAGTGTGTCCTAAAGTTTGAAGTGTTGGATTGTGGTATATAGTGTGGAAAAATCAAATGTTTTGACAGAATAGAACTTTCTTGTCTGAGATTACAAACATTCAAGCTAATCCTTTGAAATTTTGAGAACCCACATGGTATTTATTCCACTTGCATATTTTCCATGAGTATGGAGAAAATCATTCTTAGATTGTATTATCGTTATTCTTTGAGGTAGGGATTTGGTGGTACATTTGCTGGACCCTGCAATATATTTTTCTTTGTATCTATTTGTATAGAGGTTAAATTAGACCTCAACTCAAGTGAGAAGAGAAATAGGTATTACATGACCTTGACCTATGAAAACATCTGGCAAGAGAAATCTGGACATATGTTTTAGTTCGGATGGTTCAGGGGACATCTGTGACCTTGGCTTTCGCCAAGATGTGCACGACCAGTAGAACAGCGACTGGTGGCACCACCATGGTGCATTACATTGAATCATGAAAGTAGGTTCGAACCCCAGGATCGGACTGATTATGATCCTTGGTTTTTGAGCACGATACCAGTACTGTGTGTATCATCAAAGTGGTACGATCTGCATCAAGTAGGGCTTTCCTTCCACATCAAGCTGAAATACTGTTGCCACAAGCGGCGTTAAACAATACTCAACCACTCAATGGTTTAACTACAAATGAACGATAGATACAAAGACTTTCTCATGATTAACAAACATACTGTTATTTGGTATATACAGTTGAAAAGTTAACTGAATTAAGAATGATGACTTATATCAACGGGGAATTCACCGTGTATCTTGATGTACGTGCATGCACGCACACACACACACATATAAGCGTGTGTGTGGCAGCTTGTGCTAGTCTGGACTAACGGCGGTTGTATTGTTCTATGCAATTCAGATACCAATGAGGTGAAATGGGGTTTAACGTCGCGTTCAAGATTATTGCACTCACATAGCGATTTTTATAGTTCCGCAGTTTATCATAAATACCCCGCTCAGACACAGTATACTGACTCCAAACCGACCAGTCTTTGTTTTGGCCCCTTAATGTGTGCACCAGGCAGGGTAACAACAAGTACCATATTTTAACGTCTTTTCGTATGACGCGGCCAGGGAATCGACCCCTCGACCTTCAGGTCTCCATGCAGACGCTATATCCACAACCCCACAGACGCTCTTCATTATACGTTGTGACACAACTACCTTATTCTCGAAAGTGTCCCACAGCCACATTGAGAATAGAATAAATCTAAACTCGTGGAACCTTCCATGTTTATTCATGACCTTTTGTTTGACGAATTCTGCCTTGGGTGATATGAGTGAGTATGCCATGTAAAGTTAAATGGAGACATCTTTTTTGAAAAAAAAAGTTCAAGAGAAGTTTATTGTTGCTACAAAAAAAATCAAATGATTCATCCGCCATTTACATATTTCATATTAATGTTTGAGACATGAGCAATTAAATTCTTGTGAATCTTACATTTTAATACATTCTAAATATTTCTGACAAAGCTTAGAACATGACGCATGCCTCGTTTCATGTGTTCAACAGTCGTTTCATGTGTTCAACAGGTCATATTTTTAGGAGAAATTATGAGCAGTATCAAAAGTTGACACCACATCGTCCTTAAAACCATAGAATACACTTCACCCATCCTTCGTGACCCCCACATTGAGTTCACAAACCTACTGTCACGGCTTGCTGTACCAACACCAAGTGTCCAGATGCTCGTGAAAAGAGTGCCTGTACTTTCCCACCAGGTCCCGCCCTGAGGGAAGGTAATCTCAACACCAAGGTGAGGTGAGGTGAGGTGAGGTGAGGTGAGGTGAGTACCCCCCCATCACATCCCTTCAAAGCGGCTGAAACATATCATCTTGAACATTTTAAATTTGAAAACACATTCTTTCCTTACATCCCTAATACGTCACGGGTGTCGTGGGCTCCTTCGTCACGTGTTTCGGGATTGACGGACTGATTATCTACAGTTATACAGAAATTAACATGGTCACAGACATAGTTCTTCAACATTCATACGTGGATGGTGTATATGCCTCGTTATTATGCTTGTATATTTAGAGGGATAACCCCAGTGGCTGCCCGTGATTGTCGTAGACACGTGCCAGGTGCAGACTGGCATATCAATGTCACGAAAATGCACGATCTTCGTTACAGATACATAAATTAAAAGAAAAACCCTTGCACGTGCGCCTCTTGTAACATTTCGCCATTGAATCGAAATAGATCCGTTTTGGATGAACGGGTTGTCAAAACACTTAAGCTCCTTATTCATCACCATCTTCATTCTTTCTTAATACAATTTGATTAAAAATTTAAATTTGACAAGTCGTGATTTGGTTCGCCACTACGAAATAAATCAGTCAATGATTTTACAAAAATCCTTATTTATAGATTATTATTTCTGTTTGTTGAGGACAATAGACAATGTTTGACTGTAATATTAGCAACAGTTATCCATTGATTGAGTGGCACGTGACAGTGACAATGACAGACAGCAATGTTTTGCTATATACAAGGTACATATGTCGCCAGTCGATCCGTGTTGTACACGCCAGTCTTGAGTGAGTGAGTGAGTGAGTGAGTGAGTGAGTTGAGGGTTACGCCGCGTTTGAATAGCACTATGCCCCAGCAATACAACGGAGTGGGAAACTAGAAAAGGCGTCGCACATTTTACCCATGGTAGGAGACGAACTGTTGTGTGTGTGATGGGGCAACAAGGATACCCCACCTCCCCTTGTCAGTCTTGAAGACACCCGATCACTTTCAAATATTTCTACACACTTGTTTGTTTGTTTGTTTGTTGTTTAACGCCGCACTCAGCAATTCATGGCGGTCTGTAAATAATCGAGTCTGGACCAGACAATCCAGGGATTAATCTGCGCAATTGGGATACGATGACATGATGCCATGCATCAACCAAATCAGCGAGCCTGATCACCCTCTTTAGACGAACATGAGTTTCTGAAGATCATTTCTAACCTTCATCTTCACGGGTCGTAAGTACTTGCGACAGATAAATATGTTTTCCAAGATATTTTTTTTATTCTTCTCCCAGGCCAGTATTATATACTAAATGAGCTATGTGTTATAGCTAAAGGCCAGTGTTAAATATAGTGAGTGAGTATGGTTTAACGCCGCTTTTAGCAATATTCAAGCAATATCTCGGCGGGGGACACCAGAAATGGGCTTCACACATTGTACCCATGTCGGGAATCGAACCCGGGTCTTCGGCGTGACGAGCGAACGCTTTAACCACTAGGCTACCCGACCGCCCCGTGTTAAATATAGCGATAGCATCCGGGCATAATCAAAATACATGTAAGGCCAGACCTTTCTGTTGGTTTTCGGCTTTGGGCTCCAAAATTCAGTTTGATGGGTACATTTTTTTCCAATTTCCAATTATTTTGCTTTGATTTCCTCAAAATGTTAGATAGAAAAAAATAAAGTGGAGACGTAAATTGTTAAGACATTTGTTCCAATAGTTTTTTAATAATAGTATATCAATTTATTTATATTGACAACGACAGAAAATGAGTTTCTTTTAACATTGTACTTATACGTATGGCCTCAGCATTGGAAACGGTGGATAACAAAACTGCTAATCTCGTTGCAAAATGTCACTGATTCACTCACCATGATAATAAATAAATGCGTCAAAACCCTTTCCATATTCATCAGAAATATCTGCCAAAAACAGAGTCTATTGTACGATTCCGACTATATTATAAGCACGCGTCTAAAAATCAACTTTAAAAAGCGATGATACCAGCTGTTCGCAAAAGGCGATCGTATCCTGCTCCACCAGTTGTCCCCGCAACAAACACATGCAAAGGCAGTCAATTATTCGCAAACAAACAAGGGAACATATGGTACAAATCAATATAGGAAAATGCATCGGACACCATTTTTCTCACTGATGTGTCAAATTTGGAAATGTCCTTCACGTGTCTACCATTAAACGAAATACCGGGACCTGTTTGAACTGGACAGTCTGGTGATGCGCCCCTCGCCCAAGGGCTATATCATACCACAGTGGCATCGGGACCACCTGTATACGTCCATTCAGGAAACGACAGTCAGGGCTATCATTTGGGAGTTGATGGAGCTCTCTCCGAGAATCGTGTTACCATGTCAAGTAGACATATCTATTGTCCCTTCTTGGTGACCGGCAACACGTGTTGTTACTGGATGTCACAAGGATATCGAAGACAAAGAGCAGTATTATGATGAGCCAGAGTCCAATACAGTCCCAGGACGTTTATCGAAATACAAACGACTAAAGGTTTTCCGATAATCATAAGAAATCTCTCCTAAAAGCAGACTCCATTGTACGATTCATAATATACGAGGGCCATTCAATATATAACCAGCCTAAGCTATTTATCAGATCTTAACGGTTGTATGCTCGTCACGTGCTTTGCACCAATGTATGTGCACCACGTGCATAGACAAAGTTTCACTGAGGAAATTGTATTTGAAGTCACACACGTGATCTATAAAGATGGCAAGGGTAGATTCTGCCAAATGTTCGTCAAAGGTTGAATACAGGGCTGGTATTAGGTACCTATACTTAAAAGGGAAACCGGGAAAGGAGATATTTATGGTGACAGTGCACCTTCGTATGCACAGGTCAAATTCTGGGTTGCAGAATTTAAGAGGGGTCGGGTGAACCTGGAAGATGAGCCACGCCCTGGCAGGCCTGTAGAGGTGACCAATGACCAAACCAGTGAAGCTGTGAGACAACTGGTTGTCAAAGACAGGCGAATGAAGGTGTCAGAAATGGCCAACGCCTTAACCATTTCAGAGGGAAGTGTCCACACCATTTTGCATGATCGTCTGGGTATGAGGAAGCTGTCTGCCCGATGGGTCCCGAAATGTCTGAGTTATGATCAGAAGGCTGTACGTGCGTCAATGTGTCAGGCACTTTTGACGCAATGCAGTCAGGATGCAGACAACTTTATGTGGAGAATTGTTACTGGTGATGAAACCTTGGTACACCACTATGACCCAGAAACCAAAGAACAGAGTAAACAGTGGACTGGCTTTGCTTCACCCCGTCCCAAAACGTTTAAGACTCAACCATCGGCTGGCAAAGTCATGGCAACCATCTTTTGGGATACCAAAGGGGTCTTGCTCATTGACTACTTGCCACGTGGCCAGACTATTACTGGAGAGTACTACTCCGATCTCCTGGACCGTTTGCGGACTGCTATTCTTGCCAAACGTCGTGGAAAGATCACAAAAGGTGTGCTGCTCCAATATGATAATGCCAGAGTGCACACCTGTCGACTTGCGGTTGCCGCAGTGAAGCGGAACGGGTTCAAAGTATTGCCTCATCCACCTTACTCACCAAACCTGGCACCAAGCGACTACTTTCTCTTCCCAAACTTGAAGAAAGAACTGCGTGGACATAATTTCCGGTCCGATGATGAACTCACGACAGCAGTGGAGGGGTGGTTACACGAACAACCCCATGGTTTCTATCACAACGGGCTTTTAGCTCTCGCACATCGCTGGACAAAGTGCATAGACCTCAATGGTGGTTATGTGGAAAATGAAGAAGTGAGGAGCAGTAGCAAATAGGTTAGGCTGGTTATATATTGAATGGCCCTCGTAGCATGAGTATATGTTTATGAATCGCTGTCAGATAGTGATGATAGCAGGCGTTGCGAAAAGGTGAGCATCCTTCCCCACCCGTGGCATCCGTCACAAACACATGCAAAGGCAAGTCAAATGGTTAATCACGAAAACATATGGTACAAGTCAAAACAGCGAATGGCATTATTCATATTTTTGTCACCGAAGCGTCAAATTTGGAAATGTCCTGTACATGTCTACTGTGTCTAAGTTTAACATCTTGGCCAAATCCTCGTGTTATATTTTGCCAGTCAGTCAGATATTTCAGATTAGTTGCGTAACGACCAGCAAGAAGCTTAAGGAAAGCATAATTGGTACCCATGGGGATGACTACTTCTTGCCTAAATGACTTATCCCCAAATTCCATATATATTTTATCAATGAGGAAGTCCAACATTTCAAATATTGTTTTCTCGGTACACTTTTGATTTAATGTTTGGAAACAATTGTCCTGAACCTGTGTTTGTTTGGTGTTTAACACTGCAATATTCCAGCTATATGACGGCGGTCTGTGAATAATCGAGTCTGAACCATACAATCCAGTGATCATTGATCATGAGCATCGATCCACGCAATTGGGATACGATGACATGCATCAACCAAGTCAGCGAGCCTAACCACCCGATCCCGTTAGTCGCCTCTCACGACAAGCATAGTTGCTTTTGACGGTAAGCATGGGTTGCTGAACACCTATTCTACCCCGATACTTCACGGATCCCTGGACCTTTGAGGTAGAGATGCAAGTATGACGATGGTCACCACGTTTGGAGCATCATGCCCCATGGGTCAAAGAATTTGTTCCCCGGGCTTGCCGTGCATGATAGTGATGCACAAAGTTTAAAAATCAAATGTTTTGACAAAATTGAACTTGGTTCTTTTCTGAGATTGCAAAAATCAAACAAATCATTTGAGTTTTTGAGAATCCACATGGTATTCATTACGGAATTAGTTTTTCTTGCAATTTCAAGATAGTAAGTTGATTTTTCAAGATACTAAGTTGAAATTTCAAGATACTAAATTGAATTTTTTAAGTTAAAATCATACAATTTCAACTTATTATCTTGAAATTTGAACTTTGTATATATCTTGAAATTTGAACTTTGTATATATCTTGAATTTCAAGTTAGTCATTCCAGCCTAGCATCTTGAAATTTTAACGTTGCATCTTAACATTTCAACTTATTATCTTGAAATTTCAACTTGGTATGTATCTTGAAATTTCAACATAGCATCTCACCGCCTCCGTGGTCTAGTGGTAGAGCGTCCACCCGGAGAGCAGAAGGTCCGGGGTTTGATCCCCGGCTGCGTCATACCAAAAGACGTTAAAAGATGGTACTTGTTGGTATCCTGCCTGGTGCTCGGCATTAAAGATAGGACTTTAATGAAGGACTGGTCGGCTCGGAGTCAGTATCCTGCGACTGATTTTAAAACTGCTACTTGGTATCTCACTTGATTAGAACAACAAAACCAACATTTGTCCAGACTATCAAAAGCAGTCACACACATACACGCACACACACACACGCACGCACACGCACACACACGCACACACACGCACGCACGCACGCACGCACGCACACATACACGTGCATGCACGTCCCTATGTAAGTGCAATAATCTTGGACGCGACGTTGAAACCAATTTCACCTCACCTCAACACAGTATCTTGAAATTTGAACTTAGTATCTTGAAATGTCAAGATTAAAACAAAAACAAAACAAAAAAACAAATGACCCTAAAAGGCTGCAATTAATTCAGCTGATGATGTAACACCTTATTACATAGGACAATGTTTTAGTTCCCCATCAGGCATTCAGTACACCATCTTACAGTCAACCTGGAAATGGGCAGTTCTCTATTTAGTGTCACTACGATAATTCAATTCATACACAGACTTTGACTGTACAGGATGTTTTCACAAAACTTTCTTATCCTTCGTGTAACGTAAAAAAGACAAATAAACACTTCATGATATTTTGGGGGCGGGGGCGGGGTTCTTATTTGATGGGAAATTGCCGGGGGGTAGGACAACGTTTCATTGGCGAAAACCAGGTCATCGTCACAGGTGTGGGTGGAGTCAGGTGACCTGTGACGTTATCATACCGAAAGCAATGGTGCAGGTCCATGCATCGTATATTTTAAAGTTTTGTCGCTCTGACAGTTCCTCGTAGCGACAACACCATAACATATTTAGTGTAACACTTTCATTCTTTACCGAAAACTTCCCCATTCTTGTACTTTTACGATTTTAATGGAACAATGTTTTGATTCAGTTATTTTTATTTGATGCTAAAGAAGAAACGAGCGGATCAAGATGAGTGGGTTTAACAAAATTATAATATTGTACAAAAAGATCGGGAAAAACGTCCTAACTTACGTGGCCCTCTCTTCAAACAATGTTGAATTAAGATACATAGTATATACACAGACATACACAATAATTATATGTAAATTTATAGTATGTGAACACAAATATATATATATATATATATATATGTTATTCATCAATAATTTGCAATTGCATACATTTGCAACAATCAGGTAGCTGTAAAAAGGTACAGAGCGCTATTATTCAATGTTTTAACATTTGATGAATTGGTTGTATTAGATCATGATATTAATCAATAAGACAATCTGTTCATTAATTTCACAACTGTTTGAAAGATACTTTTATTATTATTGTAACTAACATGTATATTGCAATATAATAATGTACTAATTCTGGTTGTCGTCCTTCTTGTAAAACTTTGTTGACAATATTTTTTCTTATGGAATTAAAATGAACACATTCTCTGAAATCGTGAAAGCTATTTTCATTGGAAGAACCACACGGACACGATAAATGATCTTATAAATTGAGTCTTAGACTGTTTGAGAGGTGTGGATTTTGCGAGTTTGAATAATATGACGCTCATAAGGATAAACATCTGTTGTTTGTTTGAATATTCCGGATGCAGGTGATATGTTGTAATTGCCCTACATATTCTGATCTAATTTGCATTTAGGGGTGGATCGTGGGAGCAAAAGACATGCATCATCTGCACGTCATGTCAAAGTATCACCCTGCACACTATGTAAAGTCACTTGTTTATATTTGTTTGTTGTTTGACACCACTCACAGCAATCATGCAACCTGTGTTTTCGTCGTGCGTATGATATGTAACGGACAAAAACCGCCTCGAGGTCTTGACTGAGGATTTGGCACAGGGATATTGGGGAGGGCCGAAGGCTCGACCCACTGTCCCGAAACCCCGGGTATACATTCTCAGTCAAGACAGAGGAGGAGGTTTTTACTCATAAGCCATTTAAATGGAATAAATACTAGAAAGAATAAGAAAACATCAGGATTCCTTATAGTGTAACAATACAGTGCATCGGAGTATAAAAGGAATTCGGTGAACGCGTGCAAGAGAAGGACCACGTCAAGCATGCACACAACTGAAGTCATGACATGTAAGATTGAATCTCACCAGCCCCGGTGGCGCAGCGGGAAAACAGTGGGTTAGTAACTAACCACGCTATGACTATTAGGCTATGTGGGGTTGCAGGTTCGATTCACCTCATAGAATTTTCATGTGAAACAAATTATGACTTTTATCCAATCAAAAATCAACATTACATCCATATCAATAGGCCAGCTTATGAAATTCCTCCCCAACGACTTGCGTTTTTTTTCTGGTTGATGAATATATTCGCAGTTTATCAACACGCTGAAGGGTCTGCTCACATAGTAGTGTTCGGTTACAAACGATTTATCAGGACTCGGCTAACATCCCGAGCGTCTTTGTTATGTTGTTTGTTTGTTGTTTAACGCCGCACTCAGCAATATTCCAGCTATATAACGGCGGTCTGTAAATAATCCAGTATGTACCTGACAATCCAGTGCTTGACATCATGAGCATCTATCTACGCAATTGGTATACGATGAAATACATTAACTGAGTCAGCGAGCCTGACTATCCGATCCCGTTATTCAACAAGCATAGCCTTTTACGGCAACCCACAATCATAGGTTTCTGACTATTCTTTACAGACCGCCGTCATATAGCTGGAATATTGCTGAGTGCGGCCTTAAACAACAAACCACCCGCTGTTCAAAGCGACGTTAAACCCAACTAACTCCCTCACTTACTTATAGATTACTCACGATGCGCACAAATGTATTAAAACAACGTGAATACCCACCCAGACACAGTATATTGACACCGAGCCGATTATTCATTGAATGCCGAGAACCAGGCATGATACAAACAAATACCATCTTTTAACGTCTCCCGTATGGCAAGCCGTTTTCACATTTATTACGGAATTACAGATATCTTCAATTGTTTTAAATATATCTTGAACGGAATTGAAGATATCTTGAATGGAATTGAAGATATCTTTAATGCAGATAATTGTAGATATCTGCAATAAAATTTAAGATATCACCAAATGAATTAGGGATATGGTGAAGCGTATTACTGATATCTTGAAAAGAATTGCTGATATCTTAAATTCGATTATTGATATCAAAATATGATTTAAAGTTATCAAAATATCATGTTTTGTTATGATGTCAATAATTCAATTCCTGATATCTTGAAACTAAATACAGATATCAATAATTAATTATTGATATCTTCAATTGTTGCCATTATTAAAGATCTTACATTAATAATGTTACTTAAATTAGATAACTGATATCAATAATTGATATAAAGATATCATCCAAATTATTAATTATATCTTTAATTGGATTTTTGATATCAGTAACGGTCAGAATTAAGGATATTTTGAATTGAATTAAAGATATCTCTAATTGAATTAAATATATCTGTAATGCATTTGTGAATATGTATAACTTATTTTCAAGATATCTTGAATTGAATTTAAGATATCTTGAATTTATTTCTAATATATTTATGTACTGTAGGATGGTAATTGTTAAATGATATCTTATATAC